TAGCTCGATATGGACATGTCTAAAGATTTAGAGTCGTGAAGCGCCGAGTAGGATAGTGCTTTGAGGGAAGGCAGATCTACGCATGGATCATCGCTTTATGTATTTGGCAGGGATTGTAAGTGACAAGCTTAGGATATGTGCATGTATTTTGAGCGTGGGGCAGCCTTAACGGGGTTATGGGAAAACGGCAGGTGCTCTCCTGTTGTCAGATGTCGTCGCTGCAATGTTAATAATTATGTCGCGTCGGTTTGCGGCTGCAGTATGACGTGGGACGGGCCGCGAATCCCTGTCTTAAGCACTTTAATGAATCTAATTAGCATCAATCCATCGATATTGCATAAGGAAAAGTCAATCTAAAAAGGTGAATGCAGTAACTGGTGCATTGTCTTCTCACCCTTAGAAATGGCCTATTCAGTCTGTGGGTACCTATACATATTCCAAATATACTAACCTAGGTTAGGTATTTACAGAGGAATATTGAACTTCCGTTCATACCATTAGATCGTACTTAATTAGGTAATTAGTCAATTAATAAAGATAATTGTGTATCTACGCAACATCAATACAGCTCAAAAGTTCGTATATTCTATTATTAGTTAGGTATCTTTGAATCTTTCGAACCAGCAGATCCAGGGGTATCACTATGTAAAAATACCATTTGCGCCTATTCCATGGAAGATTCCACTCATACTTTCAAACAAGACAAACCCCACACCCATAGCGTCGATGATATTGTCAATTGGACCAACCTAATTATTGCGCCCATGAGACCCTGAGATTCCTCGCAGCGCGACTAGAACGACTGGCTCTACCTGCGATTGCCGACCCCTTCACTGCCGTTTCGCTGGCTCGCCAATTTCGACTCGGTAAGGGTGCTAATGGTGTTGTCGTCTCCCGCAGACTCAGGCCTCCTAGGAAGAGACGCGGTCTTCCTGGGGTGGGAGTGTATGTCTCTTGCTGGATATTATCATTCTTACCCTTCGCAGCAGCTTTCCAGTTATCCAACAAACCCCGCGCGTGGTTTAGTGAGGCCTGATGTTGAGCATCTTCTACCACTTGTTCCACACTCTTATAGCTTCCATCCTCGAGCTCGATAGGAACAAGCTTGTCTGCTGTTCGGCTGTACCAGTTCTCAAACCCATTTCGCACCAGTCTCCTGTCCTTCTTTTCCAGCGCGTTTGCTACTATGAGTGGTCGATTCTGAACTTGGAGGGAACTAAGGTTCCAATTTTTCAGCGTACGAGACATCGTCTTTTCTTTCCAATGCTCCTTAGCTTCAACTTCCAGCTCTTGATGATATACTGATTGATCCCTCCACTGATCTAAAAATTTCCCCTCGACCATTGCATCGCTCATCAACCCCATTTCCTCCCTCTGCTGTGCCTTCTCACGCCACGTTCCGAGTGCTTCTACAAGTTGTTTCGATTCTTGGTCCGCGGTGACATCTTCTAGGAGTAAATCCATCACCTCAAGCCGTTCGAAGCTCGGCTGTAGCTTTTCACGCCATTGTGCAATACACCGTTCCCCCATGCCTTTCTTCACAATACGACGGGTTTCCAAGTGCGCCTCTCTTAACCTCCGTTTACGCCTTTGTTTGGAAATAGCATACCATGCCAACAGGGCACCTCGAGATTTATAATAATAATCAGCTCGCCGAGCATAGGTCGCCAATTTCTTCCCCTCGTGATCAACATGTTGCGTCTGTGTTCTCCAAAGGGGAAGCGAATTTGTAGCCTTATAATAATATTCAGCTCGATTTGCATAAAGCTCGAGAACTCCTTGCTGTTGGACAGCTTGCTCAGCTGCATTCTGCCAAGTAGGTAGTATCCTGGTAGCTTTATAGTAGAAGTTGGCTCGTGTGGCATAGTCCTCAAGCATCTCATTTTGCCCGTGCATTTTTTCTTGGCTGTCTTGTCTCCATGTGTCGAGAGCTTTTACTGTCTTGTTATAGTAGCTAGTCCTTTTCGCATTGTATTGCATCGTTTCCTGCTCTAGAGATGCCTTTTCGGCTTGGGAACGCCATATAAGAATGACATGGGCTATGTGACCATCTTGCTGTTCTGCACGGAAATTTCTGGCTCTCTGTAAATTTTCCGCCGTGTATTTCTCCCAGGCATCATAGTAGCGCATGCGGAGAATATGCCTTCGCGCAAGTAGTGTGATTTCATCCATTTCATCTATTGTATCGACCGGGTCGTTTTTAGAAGATGCAACTCTCGTAGAAGCCTCGGGAGATCCTCTCTCGCAGGTTCCGACTGCAGTATTTGACAAACCAGAAGGCTCGACAGCAACATTAAACCCGGCATGATCACTAGCCAGAGGAATTTCTGGCGCGCTTTCGGAATTGCCCGGGTTAGCAGAGGGAGAAGCATCGAAGTGAGCACCATGAGCACCGTTTTCATGAATGTTATCGCCCAGACGCTGGCGCAGTCCAAATGCTTTAGATTTCAAACTCATTTCATAGACCTTAGCAGCCATCTGTGCCTTCTCCGACTCTTCCTCACAGCGGTTGGACCAATTCGCAAAAGCACGGGATAGCATCATATATTTATGCGCCTTTGCCGCGACACGCTCCAAAGGGTCTGTCGACTCCTCGATCTTCCGGACCCTGCTGCCTTCCTCTTTTGCACTTTGCCGCCAACATCTCAGTGTAGTTCTAGTAACGTGGATGTCATGGGCCCGGACAGCAATTCCCTCGATCCGCTTTGAATATACATTAGGGGGCAGATATTGGGGTGGTACATTGTCCACTTCAGCAGCGATAGTTCTCCAAATTTCGAACTTCGTCCCAACATCTTCTTCCAAGTCAGCCTGCCGAGCAGCATTGAACTGGTCGCAAATGTTGGCAATAAATGCTGACTTTTTCTGCCATTGTCGAAGAGCGCTCGTAGCAGAGAATTTATTCCTGTGTTTCTTACGAAAAGCGATTGCGCTATTTTCGAGGTGTTGCTCGATCACAGAGAGGTCAGCCTGGTTGTTTGCATTATGTAGATGTCGATCATTGTCGTCCTCTAGGATAATATAATCATCGCCTACATGATCACCATTGATAAAGCCAAGGGATTTGTGAGAGGAGGCAGGATCAATGTAAATTTCTCCAGCATCGCTCTCATACGCCGAAGACCCATCCATTTGAACAGTAATTTCCATCTGCGACATGATTACCTTGAACTTCTCTTTAAGCGAAATCGCCTTTTTGACACCTCCAACCCGGAATACAAGCTTGCTGATAAGCTGGTCTTCGTCCGGGTCGAGCTTATGCCTTGGAAGAATCTCATCATAAGCTTTAAACAGAGCATGAGTTGGTAGCCGAGAGGAAGGCGTGAGCTCGGATAAGATCTCTTCAGCCTTGAGCACAATTTCGTACAGAATACGTATGTCTATAAAGTTATTTTAGCGGAAAGGAACTATATAGCTACCTAAGAAACGAAAAACCCTACCTTCGTCGGAATACCTATCGCGTTCCATAGCTAAGACATGAGGAGGAGATATGGCAGGCGGAACCATGGAGCGGTGAGATGTGGATTCAGGGATGGACTCCGGGGCGGAAAATTCATCAGAAATATCGGAAGAGGTCGAAGACTGGCGACTATGTGAGAGAGCCATGATAGAGCAGCGACAGAGTCACGATACTCGTAAGTCCGAGCATCGTCTTACTTGAGCTTAATTCTTTGAACTATTTCGAGGAATAGGATCGATGCAAGTGCTAATCGCAGGTAAGTCGGCAAACGAGGAGCATGACTGAAAAGGGAGACAATTGATTAGGGAATGTGATAATTCAGCAAAGAAAAGAGAGATTGTAGTGGGTATAGACAATTTGAAATTGATTGCGATAACTGAATTGATTGATTGAGAGATGGAAGTGAGGTTCATCGCGTCGCGTTATCGAAATATTCGGACCCAACCCCCACCTGGCAAACTGCATGAGTGGGGCTCCAGTTATGTAACGCCTTGATGTACCTACGAATTATCAAACGGTTACTTTATCATTTTATTGCATATCCTTTTATTGCATATTGACGTACCTTGGTAGAGAAAGAACAATCTCATGTGGAATTTTACATAACAGGACGACTACAAGTATTTGACAGCGAGAACTTGGCCAAACCGGTTAAACCTGTAAAGATTTCGGCTTCAGCTTTTACCAGCGCGTATTAGAAAAAATGCCAGCACGTCAACGGCCAATTCAGAAATTCGCTGCTGCGGTTTCACGATGCTCTACCGAGGTAATATATATTTATATTTTTAACAGATCAACGTACATCCTATATCACAGGGTCTTAAAGCTTACGGTGGTTTATAGGCAACGGTATACGGAAAATGTATCATGGGAGATTATAACGCGGTCCACAAAGATAAATGCGCCAATGAGTTTCTTAAGTTAAAAGACTGTATCTTAGTGAGTAATACGATCCATCTCACACCTTGCTCAAAACCATGGGAACTCATAGGGAAGATAGAAGGCATCAAAACAGGCTAGGTGATGATTGCAATAATATCGAGGTTTTCGTCTAGGAATTATTATGTTATGTATTTTAATGACGTGCATCGCGCTTCAAGGCCCCGCCATTCAAAATATGAAAGTAAGGGTTATTCGATTACTAAAGATAAGATACCGGCACCGAGGTACAATACCTGAATACATAAAGTGACGCTAGCCTAGGGCCTCAGCTGAGGTTATCCGCCCCGTAAATAAACATTCCGATCCCCGGATTTACGTTTACGATAAACAATTACCAGCAAGCGGCACATGGCACATGGCACCATTCGGGCCTCACCACCAAGGTAGACCAAGTTTTGGGATAACGACGTCGGGCATATTCGAATCAATCAGCCTACACGAGTACAATGACGATCTTGGTTGACTAGAATACTTCAAACCGCCCCATCTCCCGTCAATTAAGAGCAGGTCTAGGACCGAGAACAGACAACACCTACAACAACCTGCGGTCCAAGAATTTATAACTTCCTCTTACCGAATTCGGATTTCCATTCCCCTAAAGTTTCCCGATATAGATGCGCCTACCCGTATACGCATACGCAAACGCATACGTATAACTACCTAACATAATCACAACCATGTCGTTCTTATTTTCGAGGGGCAGAACCAGGACTAACGCTCTGGATCTTCCCAAGCAAGCTAGAGACCATGTTCTCAAACTTGACGCCCCTGGCAAAGTACATAAGCCTAACACTATACCAATTATATAATATGCTAACTAGATGTCCTGTTACAGGCCGAAGAGCTTGCCAAGGTGCTCAGTCAGATGAAGCTTATACTTCAAGGAACGCCAGGTACTTGCCTCCTCCATCCCCCCGCGCAAATTCATGACCTATCGTATAATACTAACATATTCCATCGCAGACGTAGATAGTACCCCAGAGCAAGTATACCAGCTGGTTACAGGTCTGATAGAAGAGGACCTTCTCCTCCTGTTAGCTCAAACCCTACACCGCCTCCCCTTCGAGTCTCGAAAAGACACCCAAGTTATATTCTCATACGTCTTTCGGTTCCGACCCCCCACGGCGTCGCCAAAGACAGATCCAGTCGCATTGAGCTACGTAGTGAATAATAAACCTCAAATCCTATTAGAGCTGTGTCGAGGTTACGACCACAAGGAGAGCGCAACGCCCGCGGGTTCTGTACTTCGTGAGGTTCTTAAGAACGAGGCAGCCGCCGCCATTATATTATACGACGATGGGGAAGAGCCCGGTTCTAGTTTGAAGGGTGTGACGGCAATTGATAGGGAACGGCCACAGAGCGGCAACGGAGTCTTTTGGCGATTCTTCGATTGGATCGATAAGAGCTCGTTTGAGGTTGCTGCTGACGCCTTCACAACATTCAGAGTATGTCTAATTATAATATCGAGATACAAGACTATAAGACATTATCTAATAGGCGCCGTTCTAGGAACTCCTGACAAAACATAAAGAGCTTGTGCCGCGTTACCTCTCGATAAACTTTGAGCTCTTCTTCGACAAGTACAACAACATCCTAGTACAGTCGAACAGCTACGTGACGAAACGGCAGTCGATCAAGTTGCTCGGTGAGATATTACTCGACCGGTCCAACTACAACGTCATGACCGCGTACGTCGACCGCGGGGAGCACCTCAAGATTTGCATGAACCTGCTACGCAGCGACCGCAAGATGGTGCAGTACGAGGGCTTCCACGTCTTCAAGGTCTTCGTGGCCAACCCCCACAAGTCCATCGCCGTGCAGAAGATCCTGCTCATGAACCGCGAGAAGCTCCTCAACTTCCTCTCCCATTTCCTCGAGGACCGCACCGACGACGAACAGTTCATCGACGAGCGCGAGTTCCTCATCAAGCAGATCAGGAATATGCCCCCGAACCCCGTTCCCCCGACCCGCCAGCTAGCGGTTTAGGGGTACTACTGACGGAATCAGGGTCCGGTCCAGACCCAGGTGTTACGTGTATCCATAAGTAGCTTCAACCACGGTTCGATTTTTTTTCTCTCGCTTTAGCAGCAAGGACTCTTAGATATCAGGCTTGAACAGTAGAAGTACCAAGCAGCCGTCATTGGCAATCATTGTGTGCATGTAGTTAGGCGTTTGGGTTATAGCCGGACAAACGAAAGTACAAAACAAGGAGAAATCGCAATGAAACATTAAAATATTGACACATAATCAAATTCGATGATATGATATCCTTCACTATAGGGACATAATCCCCCCTAGCAGCCACTCTTTTAATAAAATGGAGTTATGCTGAACTACGGATTCCAGTATAGTAGCATCGTCCATAATATACGATACTTACCCCTATAGGTAATTCAAACCCTCAACCAAACTAGCCCTTCATTTCTTCGCCATCCACTCGGCAAACTCATCCTTATACTCATCCCGCCAACGGCTCAGCGGCGGCCGTCCATTCACCGCATCATCCGCCGTCCACAACATCCGTCGCCTGTCCGTCTCCTCATCGACATCGTTATCCGGACATAGAACCCAGAACTTGCCCTCTCCCATCTTCTTCTCCAAGTAATCCGCCACCTGTGCTGGCGTCCAGGGGGCATCCGGTTTCTCTCGTCCAGGCGCCGCGCCTGCTAGTGCCGTCCAAGTCCATCCGGGGACTAGCAGGTGCGTACTTATGTTAGATTGTGCCCGCAAGTCGAAGCTCAGTTGCTCGGCTAGGGACTTGACGGCAGCTTTGCTCGCGTTGTACGCCGGGTTTCCAGGTGGGTTTGTGATGCCCTGCTTAGAGCCTGTGATAACAATTGCAGCCTTGTAGTCAGAGGAGGCGATGGCTTTCTCCTTGACAAGCGGTAGCAGAGCCAAGGTACCGTTAACAACGCCGAAGAAATTAACATTGAGAATCCTCTGGAACGCCGCCGGGTCCGCTCCCTCGCCCTCAAAGGCCGTTTTGCCACCGACCCCGGCATTAAGTGCCAGGAGGTTAATTTGGCCTATGTCCCGTACGTTTAGTATCATTTCAGTATTGTGCCTAATATATCCGAGTTGTATTGTTAGTAGCAAGTATAACATACCTCCAAACTCCTTCTTAACCCTATCCTTAAGCCCGCTCCAGTCCTCCAGTTTACTCACGTCCATACGGACAGTACTCACAGCGCTTCCGAGTGTCTCGCCAGCTTTACCCAGAGTCTCGGCGTCCCAATCCGCAACAAGGACTCTCATGCCATAACCGACACACTTTTGTGCTAGCGCAAGGCCGATTCCCGACGCGCCGCCCGTAATAACGGCTGTGTTAGCCTTCTTGAAGATCGCAGACATCTTATCTCGTATAGGTAACTCAATTTAATTTAATTTTGGATACATTCTCAAGAACATCTTGGGGGGTGTAACTCCGGAACTTAAAGCCAAAGTCTTCGGGGATAAGATATTAAAAACCGAGGCTAATTATTGTCTTGCATAAAGACAATAACATAGCATGTAGTCGAATGCTTGTTAATGGATGTTATATCAGTTTATTACGAGATTGCTGTACTAGGGCTCTAATCAAAGGTTACAGTAGCCCCCTAGAGCGACCGTGGATTGTCTCTAGATCATGTTGATTCTGGACCCAGCCCCTAAGACGTTTTCTTGCCGATGCCCATTCTACTAATACAGGGATATAGAACCTCTTTTCCTCGAGCCACTCTCCTACTACACACCAAGAGGTTACGAATCTAACTCGTAATCCTAAGCCATAAACTAGCACGCCATACGCCATTGCCTTGACTATTACTCAGGTAGTCATCTCCATCCTTCCTCTTGATTCCCAAGCACCTCACGGGTTAACTTAGGAGCTATCGCTGCGGTAAGACAGACTGCTTAGATAACATCACCGTAACGCTTTCGCGAGCGTTGACGGTAGACCAGATACTATCTTTGCCTCCCTTTCTCCACTCGTCTCCAGTAGCATCTTCACCAGTGCCTCTCATTGACTCTCCCATAATTACATCGAGATCACGCTTCTGCGAGCTCAACCAGTCCCTTACAAAAATGGCAGGGTCCTCGCTAAGAGACGTTAGGAAGGCATGCTTAGCCTTGGACACGTGGATCGCGTGGATTATGATAGCGAGCTGGTCGTCAAGGGAAGCAGCTTCCTTCAGCATGTTGGCGTAACCAGCGTTGCTAAGGAACGAAGACATCTTCTCGCGTAACGGATCATCTACAGCGACGCGAACATCGTAGACGGTCGGCTGTGGGTCTTTGTGGAAGTCTTCGTCTAGTCGGATGGTGTAGGGAAGCTTGACCGGTGGTAGGGGTTTTAGATGCGGTGTAATATATTCGTGCAGCCTAGGAATCGACCCCGTCTCGATGCCAAAAGCCTGAAGCCATTTGTTAGCCGGGCATGTTAATAAAGTCTTGTATGATGACTACTCACTTTTCTCAATAAATCATCACACCGGAAATTGCGCTTCTCCTCGTCCTCTTGTAGCCCCATTAGTTTAATGTATTCCCAAATCCCCATCACTATCTCCTGTCGTGTAGCTTCTGACATGTCCACAATGTCTTCTAACTCCTGGCTAACCGCGTACCGCTCGGGCTCCTCGTGCCTGTAGAGATTGATCGTAATATTAAGGTTCTCGTCTCCGCTACGCTTGAACGTCAGTTCGTCGAAGTCGGCAGCAGCGGGAAGACTCGACGATGGACCAGCACGCTCCGGCTTCTTCCATTCGACGACCTGATCGATGCCCTTCCGATTGCTAGGAAAATCTACGCTCAAGGCCTTGAAGAAATGAGAGAACCTATATTTCGGAGACTTCGCCTTCGGTTTCGTGTCTTCCTCCATGCGGTCGGCGTCGTCAGATTCACCCGTGTTATCTTCACTATCATCATCCTTGTCGAGATCATCGTCGTCATCCAACAATCGTCCTTCAATCTTAATGCGATAGGTGGGCTCTAGATTAGAACTGAAATCAAAGGTATCGACAAGACCATTCCCTTGCCAGACTTGATCTTCTGCGGTATTGGTAATCCAGATCCGAAGCGTCTTCCAGCGCTACGCAATGTTTAGTACCTAGGTATAAGATCTGATGTTGGCCGAGACATATGACACGTACCTTGACGCTTCGATTTACCGAATCGACAATATCGAGGCGTTTTCTCGTCATAGTTGCATCGAGTCTTCTCTCAAAATCCCTAAGCTCTCGATATCTCACCGCCATATCACCGACGGCACAGTCGTCGATGTTATCAGGGAGATTCTTATCGGTTGGCTTGCGACTGCGCCGCTTAGCCATCTCGACCTGTATGGCGGCGGCCTGTTGCTGCTGGGCGATTTGCGCCTGAGTCAGGGGAACTTGATGATGAGGACCGGACGACATCATGGGACCTGTAGACACAACAGAGGGGTTAGTTAGAATCTCTGGGAAGAGGAAAGGAGGGGGAGCAGAAGATGGAGGGGAGAGTATGACCTAAGAAAAGTGTGGCTAGACAACAACAATAAAGGAGAAGTAGCAGTAGCAGTAAACTGCAGGTACACGACGTGTATGTATATGCATAGGTAACCTAGTGGATTAACACATGTATGTAGGAGTGGTAAGAGTCCAAACTAATGGTCAGTGGATCCAATGTGTGGATGCGTGGAGGGAAGGGGAGAGAGAGAAGGGGGGAGGGGGGAGGGATATGATTTTTTTTGGTTTTTTGGCTGGCTTCGATTCCTAGCTTTGCTAGTTTTACTGAATCGCCAACAATTCAAATACTCAAAGACAACAGAAGCATTAAACCAGATATATAAAAAAGTAGATGGTCTTGCTAATCAAGTTTACATACCAATGCCTCCTCGTCGCTGTCCGGCCGAATGGGGAGTACGCTGCTGTTGCTGCTGCTGCTGCGGCGGCGGCGGCGGCACCTGTTGCTGCGGGTAAGGGCGGTAGCCGGTCTGCATCTTGACTATTTTGGCCCCGATTCGAGGGCCTTGTTATGTCTCTGTTTCTGCTTTACTTTGATTTTTAATTCCTTGGACTGATTGGAACTAAAGTTTTGTAGCTCCACCGTTTAAGCGTGCGACACCAGTTTCGATCGCGATTGGGAATAGGCAGTACGGCGGTATGGCTGTATGGCTGTATGGGGGAGATGGCCCGAGTTATCTGGGTCCGAGATTTGGATAGTCGTTGGAAAAGGCGCGTGTCGCCTCGTCGCGGTCTGTTTGAATGATTGGAGAATTTATGTACTTTCTACATTATGTGTATGGACCGGCTTGGCTTACAGCGGGTTTCAAAGGGAAGAAAAAAAACAATGGGCTTGGCTTTAGAGTACATAAGGTAAGACCCGGTCTGCCGGTTTAGATAGACCTGTACCTAAGTGGCTGATGTGGCTAGTACCTTTGTAGGTACCTAGGTACATACCTAAGCTTCTACATGGATACATGTACCTACCTCATGTCCATAGGTCCTATGTAAATACATATACGCGGTCCGCGCATTAATTCGTATTGATTTGCGTTGATTCTGTGCATTGATTAGGATTTAGGTAAATCTGGACATAGGTCGATTGGCCATAGGGTTACTTCGCAGCCTTTGTAACTCACTCAGGTCTTAGGAGATGATAGGAGGCCACCGGCATCCTTTACATTATTATTTCCTGTGAATCCAACTGACGAAATCATGACGACCTCGACCTCGCTATTACAACCTATAATATATATGCGTTGATAGGAATCCGAACCTATGAGAACTGCCTATGCAACATATCAACCATTAATCACGCCGGGGAATGTCTAACTTGCTTTTGCTAGTTCCATTGATTCAGTTACGTCCTTTTAGACTCCTGAAGCATTGGGTCCATTACGGACCCCTATTTCTCAGATATCTACCTTTCCAGTTCTAGACCCTCAACACGGCTATGCGAGCGCTCTTCCCCGCCCTTAACAACCAAATAGCAACCCCGGGCTCGACATTCTTTGGCTTTTCTCCCTCTCCCTCTCCCTAATCTAGGGCCCCGAAAGGAATTTTATGTTGGAATATTATATTAGGGAATGTGAGGTATGGTTATGCGTAATGTAATCCTTCTAATCCATCTAAAATGAGATACCGAGCGCATACCCCAACAAGAGGCACGGGCCGGTGACAGGGAAACTCCCAGAATGCATGTGTTGTGTCATGATGTGCACCCCTTCAAATATCACCAAAAGCTACCAAAGCCTACGCCTCGCTAGAACATGCCGCATATGAAAGAAGAGAAATGCCTCCAGGAAAGGGAAAACTAGGTAGGCCCTAACGGATAGTTAGCCGAGTTCGCGCAATGACCGAATGCCAAGCGTGAAAGTATTTCCAAGCTATAAAATGTACAGCTATTGCTAAAAAGCAGAGCCTAAACCCTGCTTGGATTGCCGTTTGCTAAATCGATTGCGTTTCGCATTCGCTGCATCCTCTAGGCTTGCCTGGCTCTTGCTTAGGTGATTGCGATGAGACCTATCATTAATATTGTAGCCTTCTGGACCGAAAGTACTTGCTGGGCTAGACATCGACGACGACATCTCCCCAAACGCGTTGTCGCTAGTGTACGAACGGCTAAGATTAGAGGACATCGCAAAATCCCTAGCTTGCTGTAAACTCTCAAGCCAGTCGTCTGCTGTGGGGCGAGGCGGTTCTAGTGAAGAAGCTGGCTTGACATCTTCAAAGGTATAATGAATGCCAGCCTAGCACTTGTAAGTATAAACATATACAAATCGGAACATGGAAACTCACCGAATCAACACACCACACAGTCTGTCCCTTTGCGTCCACCTGGCTCTTCCACGAGCAGTCCGGCGTCAAGAGCGAGATCTCCAATTTCGTCTTTTTCTCTTCCCCGCCAGCCGGGGCCAAGACGATCCTCCCACTAGAAGTGATCATGACTAGCCGTTGCCTCTTCTTCGTCGTGCTACCACCAAAGAACCGAGAGAATTTCCTATGACCCTCATCGCCTTTGTTATGTGGACTGTTCGGGATTGGCGACGACATGACCATAAGGTCGCCAAGTCGCAAAATCCTCTCATTCGTTCTTGTCAACACAGGTGACCACTCAATATCAAGTTGCGATGGCGGCGGAATGTCAGTGATAATCCTCCCCGGTGCGCGAGAAGGGCCGTTGAGGCCATTCCCTGTCGTAGGAGGTCGGGACGAAGGCTGCTGGCTAGAGGGTGATCCATTAAGCTGGATTATCTTGGGCTCCTGAGACGGCGGAACGTACGGTCGTAGTCGCGGCGCCTTTGTCTTCCACAAGACCTTACCGAACTGCTGACCTTCGAAAAATTCGTGGTTTTTGATGTGTTCGATCGTAAGGCGCCTTGCTGGATCTAGAACTAGACAACGCTCAATCAAATCCCTCGCGGCAGGAGGAAAGCCTACAGGGAATTCATAGTCGAGGTTGACGATCTTTTGAAATGTCAAATATTCCGATCCAGCTTTAAACGGTGGTCGGCCAGCTAGTAATTGATAGATAATGCAGCCAAACGCCCATAAATCACTCGCCTTGCATGCATTTTTGTTGGTGAGGAGTTCAGGGCTGACATATTCGGCAGTACCCACGAAGGATGCTGCACGGTTATCGTCGGCCTCATCTTTACTCCTAGAGCTAGTCCCCATATCTTCGATTCTAGGAGGAGCCTGCGGTGCTCTCGGATCGCTCAATAGCCTAGCTGTGCCAAAATCGGTGATTTTGACATGTAGTTGGTCGTCAAGGAGAACATTCTCGGGCTTCAAATCCCTGTGGATGACGCCACGCGAGTGCATATATTCGATGGCATCTAGGATCTGGGCCCCAAAGAATCTCGTACACTCTACATCGAATGTGCCTGTCTTTTTCAACACACCTAAGAGCTCACCACCATTGCAGAGATCCAAAACGTAATACAAGGAATTTTCATCTTGGAAGGTGTAATAGAGTCGTACGATACCAGGATGTTCGGTGAGACGGTTGAGGGTATCTTTTTCGATGTTGACGTATTTTATCTTCCTCTCCTTGATAATATGCTTCTTCTCGAGAACCTTTATGGCATACTCTTTAAGAGTCTGCCGATCCGTAGCGAAAAATACTGTGCTATAGGAACCCTCCCCTAGAATGCGGCCGAAGGCAAAGTCTCGCACGCCCTTTTTAACTGGCCTCATGATAGTTTTTCCATTAGAGTCTACTTCCTTCCGTATCGAAACAGCGGCTCCCCTGTCTTTCCACTCCTCGCTGCTATTGGACACCTGCATATCTAACCCAAGACCACGAGGTTCGGGAACAGTAGGGACACCGGGGATTGAAGCATAGCCACCACCCATGCCTTTCGAACTCCTCCTAGGAGGCAAAGGACCACCCCCAGCTACAGCTTGGAGCTGGCGGTTCTGATTATATGGTCGCTCCCGGTAACTCGGTTCGCGGGAAGGGATACTTGACGCATACTCCGAAGGCGTTCTCGAGTCGATCTTACCCGAATACACAGGCGTCCTAGACGGTTCTGTTCTCAAGATATGGTAAGAGTTTGCAGCTTGATCCCGTTCCACTGCAGTTGCAGTACTATATAGTCCAGATGGAGGCCGGGAAGAAGAGGGGTTCGCGTATGGTGATGCTCCATTTTGTGCATATGCAGATGCTTGGCCCTGAGCATCAGCTGTCATACCGGAGATAACGGTTGACATCTCTGCCGTCTGAGGTCTACTCTGTCCTGTGTAGGAGTCGGACTCAGAGGGACGAGTATCGGGAGTGATTTGGTTTGACGTGGGCACATTGACGTCTTCGTCGGCTTCTTGAGATGGGCCCGGTGTAGCATCGTCTGGGTTTGCAATGCGTAGGCCACCCAGAGCCCTCGAGAGACTAAGATCGTTATTCATTGTTCCCGCAATCCGGAATGACGATGGATAAATTAGCTATATGTCGATGATAGGCTGTTAGGGGCGAGTCTGGTCGATTTTGGGGTGGATGATCAAACGACAGATATCAAAGTAGGACGACGGGAGGCGAATTATCTGCCGGTCCGTATCGATAGAACGTCGACAGATGAGACCATCGGTGGTCCCTAGGATATAGGTTTGTTCTCTCTTTGGGAGTTCGTTCTACTAACCACTAAGGAACCGAAGTTCAGACTTAGCAGTACCTGCTCGAGCCTCTAATAAAACCCGACCACCGGCAGTGGTAGATGTGCTACCTCGAATGCGGCGTTCTTTAGGGGACTCGGCCTCACCTCTAAAGGCGAAAATATTAGGTCATGTCAGGTCGGGGACGGAAAATATCCAGTCGGTAGGGTAAGGGGTTAAGAGGGAAAATAGAGGTGGAAAGGATAAGGATAGGATAGGATAGGATAGGATAGGGTAGGATGGGTAGGTAGGATACGATAGGGTAGGATAGGTGTAGAGAAATTGGACTGATGTCTGTAATTACTTGCTGCACGTACGTTCTGCTGTTCCGCGTGTAATTTTCAACGCGGCAATGTAGCCGTAGCAGTGTAGCAGTGTAGCAGTGTAGCAGCAGCAGCGTGGATAGAACACGACCAGAACATTCAAATCTCAATCCAATTGTTGCCATGCATGGACACATGGACAAGGGCCCAAACAAGAACGGGCGATGAGCATACTAACGCGCAGATGGTACGCAGGTAGTCAAGTAGTTCGGATAGATTGGCAGATTGGTCGATACTAATTTCATAAAAAAAGTGGCAGGTCGAGCAGCAAACTGGAGATCCAAGGTCCAGTGTCCAATGTCCAATGTCTAAGGACTTGCGGCTTGCGGCTTGCGGCTTGTACATATGAATCCGTACCTACGTACCATATGTTAGGTACCGTACGTACCTGCCACCTGCTACCTTAGTGGAACTCTACACGCATGTACTGACTAAGGTACTTTGCTACAATACTACTAAGTACACGTATGCTGAGGGGGAAAGTGTGGAAACCGTTAGTGTCTGCTAATAGCGGATTGGATATTTCCCTTGGGCTATGTCATTAGCGGCACTTCGTAATCTTCATTACAGGTACGCTGTACAGCGTACAGGCCGTAGACCGTACAAGGTGCAACTCACCTAGCAGGTTTTCACGTAACTTTGTTATCTGTGAAGGTAACATGTACCTTCAACTTTTAAAGCTGCCACCTCATGTTGAAGGATCGGAAATCAAATACGTTCACCTATTAATTTAAGTTATTAGACATGTGCGAGTAAACCCAAATCCTCATTTAATACGATTGGTAGGTAGTATTTGACATTTTTCTACGCATTCGTGCCCGCAAGGCTTACGCAATCTGACAGCTTCTATTTTTATTTGATCAGGTACCCAAGTAGTGCTACAGTACCTATTAAAGTGAAAAGTGAACAAGTATTAAAGTTGAGGTTAGGGATGATGGAAACCCTATATTTTCTTCTTCTTACTACATACATGTAACTACACGTCTTATAAAATAATTGGTATAGGTAACTACTCTTAGATACTGTAATCTAGCCCATATGAATTGGTTCAAGAGAAAGCTATTCGCGTCCCAGTTGCTTACCTATACATAACTATTTACAATCAACGAGCTACTAATTATACCTGTAACATATAAACGCGGTATACGTTAAGTTGTTACTTTATTCGAATTACTTTGCGGTGTAGTTGTTTCTTCATGCCCAGCTAAAGAAAGACCATTGATGCCAGCATACATGTAAAGCGCATATATAACGATAATATAGGTAGTCGTTTAACTCGTAGCTTCTTGTCTCGGATATCTGCTATGGCAACTTTAACAATTATAGCAATTACAACAACCACACAGAGTAATTATATCAAGGCAAAGCTTGGCCCAATTAATTCTCACACGCAACTTGGCAATATCCCATCCATTCCCCGGTTGGTGATGATCCTCTGACAATATGTTACGCCTACCACCAACTACACTCTCCTTAACCATAGCAGAGGTTAAGGAGTTTGAACGTCATCTTCGATTTAAGAAGTATCTTGTTAAAGAAGATACTCTAGGTAAATTGCCTATACGTACCAAGACAACCATTCCTGTAGCTAAGAGCAGCGAGACGGAATATAACGTTTTAAACCAATCAACCCCAGAACTCATCTCCAAGAGGTCGTCTACCACAAGCGTTAAAGAAAGCTCTAAACTTCTAGCATGCCCGTCCCGACCACCAAAGCCCGGCGGCGACTCTGTTGAAAGTAACTCGCAGGGTATACCATCTTCCTCGCAAAGTGGTACCCCAAGCTCCTCGAACTTGTCGCATCCTATAACCTGGGGAAACTTGCCAACGACGCTACCTCCGCCATTCTCGAAAGAAAAACGGGCCGTATCAGATGCGCAATCACTACCCTCGGTGAGCCTTTTCTATTATTCGATATTCGAAGACATTAGCAGAGCTAAATGGTCTCGGTTGATAGAACTCTAGCAGCATGCATGTGAAGCCTCGCCGCGACAGCTCCAGCCAGGAACCACCAGAAACGCCCCCTAGACGATCCTCTCTTCGGATGGCGCATACTGACGTTCGGACGGGTTCCCTAGTGAGTAAAACACGTGGTCGTAAAGGCACTGACTAATATTACCATCCTAGTCCCTTACAAGTAGGAGACGACTTGTCAGTTCAGCAGTTAGATTTGTAGAGTCTATCGTCCGTTCTCCAGGGCGTGGTTCTCCGTCCCCATCACCATCGCCGCACGCTAGTAGCTCCGAGACTGGTTCTCCAGCGCGGAGGGATGAGCTAGAACCAATAAGCGGGACGGAACTTGGGTTTATAATTTACAACGACTCTCTTCCAGCATCGTCGCAGCCGCAGACACCACTCAATCTCCCAGAAACACGCCACCAAAGCCGTCTTCACGGAGCGTACACTGCGCCTGTTCCACGGGTAGCCTCTCGACCGGCATACAGGTACAACACCGTGAGGGGAATGGGGGATACCACCAGCAGTCTATCCGGTCTGGAGACACCCGGATTCCGAGGTCTCTACAGCGGCCGAGAGAATACCGAAGACTCAACGCTGTTCTATGAGGCATCGATATTTCAGGAAGAAGGCCCAGTAGAAGGTGAACAAGATTGATAAGAAGAACGAACGGACATTTTTAGATGAAGATCATACGTCCTAAAGGGTCAACGACTCGTGAGCACTCTCAGTCAACAAAGCTTTACTACACCCGACGAGATGGTTAGGTACACATGAAGAAACAGCAGGTTATCAAGCATATCATCATCAAACCTGTTTTTAATTCTATGTAGGTGATGCACGACCGCGGCTAGAGACTTGCTTTGTTGTATATTTGGTCATAGTTGAACCTGTAGAGTTATTGCAGAATAATGCATTCATCTTATTACCGGCCCTGTTCTCTCATGTTCCAAAAAATGTCTGATAAGGAGTATGGATGAGTACCTCCTAATGCATAGATGCAACAAAGGGATGACGCGAACAGTTGAGACGAGAACCTAAATAGTTGGGGGGAGAACCGGATATGAAATAGCATCGTCAACGATGTTTTCTAACCTGCAAAGAAGAGGAGAAACAAACGGACGGCAGATCCGTATCCCCGGCCGATTCCTTTTTCTTTCCCATCCTTCTACATACTATGTAGCAACCTATCTTTTTACATATCTCTTCCATGATGGAGATGGGATTAGTGTCGGTTAATTAGTTTTTCCTAGACTCTTGTTACCTAACATACGACATCACTTCGTGGGCTTGGCATTCAACAAGATATGATGCAGCAAATCGCGATCAACATGATTGTTTTCATGTGGGGTCTACGGACATAACCGGTGGGAGAATTTTATCCCTTAACCGAGACTTGTATGGGGCTGATGGGGAATTGTTTTAAACCAATAAAAATGAGGTTGCTGTGGGAACTTTTCGGCCCCAGATGCCAAGAAGCTAAGGCTTGGTACCAGCATCAAACCGTAGCAACCTTGGGCCAATCACAAACAAGATAAGCTCTTTCAAAAGACCCCTTAGCCATTGCCTTACCGAATTGCTCTTGCATCCCCGACAGTCCGATCCTTCTCGACATCACAGTGGTCTGAGCACCCTTTTAACAATTGACGTACACCCTAAGCACTGACCTGCAGCCGTTGCTGCATCTCACCAATCGGGATCCACACTTATCTATGGATGTATCCGTGCTGCGCCTTTCCCTGCTATAGGTACTTTTTCTCTTCCATGGCCAATAAGATAATCCAATTTGTGCCGTTTTGCCCTTCTTCTGTTCTGTACCTTCTTTCTTACGCTTCCGCGGCCACACCCTCATACATGTATGTACTAAGGTAATGTTCTCTTATGGAGCCTACCTACATACATGTACATACCTCTTTCTCTGTTTCCTCGTCCACCTGCCTACCTGCCTACATTGCTACGCTACCTACCTACCGTGTAACCGATTTCCGTCCTAACTTTCCGGGCAGTCTGCACTAATACATAACACAAGCAATCCTTGTTACCTTGTCTTTCCCCCATCTCATCCCATGCGCATGCAAGCTGCTACTATTACTACATACAACTTCCCTACATATACCCAGTGTTTCTTTTCTCTCTCTTTCTTATTTCTTACAAGAGTCTTCCACCACCCAGCCATCCTCACCCATCTTTCCTGTCCTTATCTTCTACATATCATACTCATCTCTAACACCACTCACTACTATATTACATACATAGACATCCTCATAAAGCTTCTTATCTCGCAGCATAAGCTCATACCTCGAGATCCTTTCACCCATATACCTACTTCCTCCTAGCCTTCCATCCTCAACCGTGCCGACGGCCACCTGCATACCGATCCCTCTAGGCCGTCAATAATTATCAGACCACGTATTATCCAGTCGTATATCATCTCGGAGCCCTCCTTTCCTCCTCGATACAACCGCCTCGATCCTCTGCAAATCAGCTTGCGCTCCTTCCGACACGCGACACGATCATCAGATTTAAACTATCAAGCTGAAATCAGAAATCTAACTTGTTTCTTTTGCGTATCTCACCTAACATCTAGTGCTAACAGAGTCCAAAATGGCTTCTTTCGGACGTACTTCCTCACCAGTTCTTACTATGTCACCAAGTGCTGCTCATCAAGGCGCGTTCGGCATGTCTTCCTTCTCGCATCACACCTCTCCTTTCAGCCGGGCTAAGTCGTTCGCTGCTTCTTCATCCTGGGCTCAGCCTTCAATCGCAACCCCTTCAACAGCAGGTCGTAAGCGATCCAGAGATGAGGCTGGCGTCAATCTCGATGTTGAAGAGGCTAAGCTGGAGACCATCGAGCCCGTCAAAGAGCCAGAGGATGGCTGGGTATACGGCGAAGGTATGACGCTCATCAAGTCGCCTTCCTCGTACGTGGCTGAAGCAGGTAATCAATCTGGTACCTGGGTCGAAGAAAAAGTGAATACGGATAACATCCGTAAGAACGAAGAAGCTCGTGCCCTCAACCAGCAGACACGGCCATCTCTAAGAAGCAGCAAATCGCAACGTTTAGATATGAACGCTATCGCGATTCCCGGTAGTGAGCCGCAGATCAGTCGTTCCAGCCCAGTTCGCGACGCCGATGCTGCTAAAGCCACACCTAGTCTATCAGCCGATACCAGCAGCCAGCCCATCATCGACAATTTTACACTCCATCTCGGAATCGGGTGGAGCCGTCTTAGCGGGAGCGAGCACATTCAAGCTGCCGCTCGCGGGTGGGCGAGATATATCGAAAACCATTTCCCCGTCACAAACGTTCAAATTCAGCTAGAAAGCAAAGGACTTCAATCATATTTCGTCGAGGCAACAGAAGGTTTCTTCCTATTCTCCGAAACTCTGCGACAGGGTCAGCTCGTCAGCAAAAACTTAAACCAAGCATTCGTCAATCTAAAGACGTCACCGCCAACTTTCGAAGGGCCCGAGGCCATGGTTGCTACAGAATCACCCAAACCAGTCGAGATTACGACATTCCCACAAGTCGCTATAGCCCCTGCTGATGTTGAAATGGACATGAGCTAAACTGCTGAAAGGAGAAGGTCACTGATTGCTTTCGTTGTAGGACAATGCCGGCGTAGCTTGGCGAGAGGTAACTTGGAATTGACAGGTATGGACTGGGTGCGTTCGAATTAATATTTCTATTAACGGGTTTAACGGCTTCCCTTATACGAATTCGAGCCAACTGAGGTTTGGACCAAAAATTGACGGGGCGTAGAGTATTCATCTAGCAAGCTCCTGTATGCATAGTTTGTACAATAGATTTCTTCATGACTCAGTTGCTTCAAAAGATAATCATGTCATTGTGATATAGCTCTTGGTATGGGTCGTTGCAGTTCCTATACTAGTGTATGTCCTTGAAATGCTGCCTGAGCAAATCGCGGAAGAGTAAATTAGGCAACAACAGGGTTACATTTGTAGGTGGGATCTCTAGGATTCAAGCCAATACCATAGCAGACTTACAACTAGAGTGTGCTATATTCAATATGCTATATAGAGTAGAATATTAGTTCTGAGAATAAATGTCGATAATTTGAGTTAGAACCTGTGGTTTTCTGTGAGCATCTATTTTTACATGTGTTGAATTTACAACCTTCAGCTTAATACGACATTAATGCGTTTGGTATTGGATTATGAAGAACGAAAAGTTTTCAGCGAAGACTTGGTCCGTCCGTCATCGGCCATAAGCCAATACTATATGCGGCTAGTAGTAACCTAAGATATTGACTTAAGGGCTTATCAATACATATGGCGTAATCAATGGAATCCATAATGATTCCGATTAGCGTTTGCGTAAGATGGCAGGGTGGATACAGGTTGTGATTGCTCTGTTTTTGCATACATGCTGATAAAGAGGTACATGCATGTGGTATTGCATGCGAAGTACGTACCTACCTGCGTAATGGAAGCAGTGGAAGGAACTGCTTCGACCTCCATCTCAATTCCCGAAAGTACCTAATCGTCTCCCTTGCCTAAACCATAATTCCTAACTATTTCTTTTCGTTTTCATTCTTATTTTTTCTCCCTTCTTTTTTCTACAATTGAAGCCATCATATTAATAAATGTATTCGTGGATGCGATATGTTTTTATCGAGCTTACCAAATCTGGCAAGGCGTATTTCATCCAAGCAAGTTTAGTCTGACCAGCTCCCCTCCGCTTCCCTCCGCTTTTAAGGAATTAAGATCCCATGGTTTCGAGGTCGTCGAGGTGACGAACAAACGACTGGCTCTAAGTGGTCAAAGCTAACTAAATCTCCTATCGATAGGCCACCGATGGCTGCATCCGGGTCCATTCTTCATCCATCAGGCCTGTCAGGCTTGTCAGGGCAGATGGTAACCAAGAGCGGTGCATCTAACTCCCGATTTGAACCACATTCTGGGCTCACGCATTGGTGTCGAGGCAATGGAATTTCATGCCCGTGTCGTGCAAAGCAAACCTCGACAGGGTGATACAATAAACAAGGACGCGGCAGAAGGAAGCGCGACGTCTGAACAAGCTTATATGCATTAGGTACGATCGAATTTATCTCCCTAAGGTACCTAAATATCAACCTGCGACGCGACCTCGATCAATTTCTTCTTATTTTCTAGAAACTTTTTGCTCGTGGTCCGTTGATAGAGGCCGCCTATTTATTACCTATTTTATTCTCCAGACTCCAGACCGCCGTGGCGAACTCATGAGAAGCACATACACTACTTTGCGCATCCTTGCACAGCCGCACAGGGTCCTTACCACACCTATCAATCAACAACTTATCAGTCAATCATCAACCTGAACTTGGCAATCTGCTGCTCGTGATGTTCCTAGGATAGTGGACCCGCGCATGTTGTCCCGTGCTTTCTACCCCATCCAGCTCCCTCAAGCTGTGGACAATTCGCAACAACAGAATTAGCAATCTACAGTTTATTCTTTTCTCAATACCGCAGCCTAGACTTTACTACTTTTTCGGTATCTAATTGAGCTATAAGGGAGGAAGCTTTTGCCTTTTTTATAAGGGTTTTATTTATTTTATTTATTACCAATTAAAAATAGCTGGCCTCTAACGTTCGACGACCTATTTTAATAAGCCATAGCGGCTGCGCCTTTCCCATCTAACTTCGAGCACGCGGATCTATTAAGCTACCTATCAAACTGCAAGAATAGCACTCGCATTCGAGTCTGTTCTCACCTGTGGTTGGGCAGGACAGTGGCCCCAAATCGACAGGTCTGAAGAGACCATTGATTCGAAATCCCCGCTACGTCCATTCTTAAACCGTGTAATCTTCAGTCTTCATGATCTCACAATCCGAGCCTCTCACCCTCCGCGGCCCCTCATCCGTTGTCTCGGCACGTACCGCCTCCCGCCCCCATGTGTCTTCTCGGAGCAAGCGGTATAACCGCTCGCACACGGGCGGAAGCTCTTATATCCCACAGAACGAATTCCCTGTGTTTAGTCATTCGGGCGATGTCGAGATCTTTATAAAAGCCGGCGGGAAAGAGAACAGGTATCTCTTACATAAACATACTTTAACAAGATGTTCGGGATTCTTCGAAGCGAGCACCAGCCAGGAATGGTCTAAAGCAAGTCTTATGCCGCCAGCAGATGCCTCATCAAGAGAGCTTGCGAGGATTGGGGAAGATAGCGCTAGCAGTAGTGGAAATGAGGTCGCGCGATCACGTGTAAATTCTCCCGTGCCACGAAAACGATGGCGATATGAATTGGACCCCGGGAGTGATGGGGATGATATACCGATGTTGGTTCAAAAGGAGGCGAATACCCTTAATACTGCCGGTTCTACGCAGTCCAGCTCCCTTTTTGGAGGTGGTAGCGCAACCTCGGATACTCCTACCACGCGCAAAGCAAGCCATTCGCACACGCATTCCACGAATTCATTCTTTCGTTCGGTTGCAAGCCTATCCTTGGTGCCGACAAAGGTAGACCAAGATGTGTCTCTCTCTCAGGCCGACGCCGACCTACTTCGGGATTACGATAATCTCTTCCGCATTTTCTATAACTATCCCCCGCTGCTAGACGGCATAAACATTGCCGACGCATATGTACAGTGTAAATCGCTTCTTACGTTGGCGGATCAGTACGACGCGTTAGCTGTTGTAGGACCACGGGTTGATCATCACTTGCTACAATTTCAAAGCAGGCTATGGAAACAGATCGCCAAGTATCCTGTTAGCTATCTACGCCTGGGGTACTTGAGCCGAAGTAAGGTTATCTTCCAAGAAGCCTTGATACATGTTGTCGGACAATGGCCGGCTGGGGAACGGAGTATTAGGCAGTCATTTCCGGATATCGTTCTCGATATCATCGAAGATAAAGTTGACGAGCTGGAAGAGACAGTATCGAGAATCGAGGGTCGCCTCTTTCGCCTCAATCTTACCAATTCTCGTGGCGAGCGCATCACGCCTGGTACGTCGTATCTCGACTGGCTTGCTGTGTCTTTCTTTCGTCAGTGGCTCGCGGATAACACATCGCCGGCTCCGCTGGCTCCTCCAAATACTCGAGGACATTCATCCCGTGATGGAGGGCCGTCATCCCGCACTACAGCTGTGATTGCCTCGGCACCGATGGCGCCGAATCTCGCAAGTTTAGGCCGTACTTATCGTACTCTAGGCTCTACGGCAGGTGCCGGCTATCTAGGCCACGACGAGTGCAAACGCTTTCTCAAGTTGACGCCCGAATTATACTCACGCGACAACCTTCGGCGGTTCGAGAAGCGTATTGACGAACTTAAGAGCGCCGCCCGTGAGATCGTACGCCCGCTCATGGGCAGCGGGCTGGAGCTAGAGCTAGAACGAGGTGCCGTTACACCAAGCAGTGCTAGTGTCAGTGGCAGCCTTAACGTACCAATAGCCACAAGTGGCATGACGAGTTATCTAACGTGCGTGCGGGTGATGGAGAGAGATCTACCGTGGGCTGTTGAGGACTGAAAATAACTCGGACTCGGCGTGTCAAGGTACACATACACATCATCAGTCACATCATCAGTCACATCATCAGTGGGGACGAGAAATAATATGAAATGAATAATACAAAGCAACGCAAGCAGAGACGAAACGAAACAAACCGAAGCGAGGTAAAAACAACCAGCCATCCCGTTCGAGCTAGAATGAAGGATTTGTAGCTAAGCGGAGCCTACACTACACTTTATGCTCTGGTGGTGTAGGTTGGTTTTAGCGGGCGTGCATGGTGTCTTCAATTATCATAATGCGTTGCTAATACCCAAGGGCTGGCCCAAGTTTCTCGGGGTTGCATTGTTTGTACTGGGGTCATATATGGTCGAGTCTTTTTATTATGGAAATTCACTGCAGGATACCCACCGATACCTATATCTATTTGCTTGTCTATCTACATTATCTATATGCCATATACCTCCCCACGTGGAATATAAAATAAATAAGAAATACTACAATATAATGATGACGATCATTTCTAGTCATAGAATTCACCTCTCGGAGCCGGAGGGATTACGGCTTACCTAATTGTATGCATATGGATTGGGTATTTACACAGTAAACGTGCCTTGTAGTCGAGGTACCCAACAGCTTGATGCCTTAGGTATAAGTAAGCTGATTAGACTTCGTCGTCCTAGGTACTTTATTTCGACTTATAAACCATCCAGGGTTATCCACCGCAGCATCACTAAGTTGACGATGAGATCTAGTTTAGTTACAGAGGCTTTCTTTAGAATAGGTTACTATGGCGGGGAGAAAGTTATGGCACGAGCTCTAGTGCTAGATCGTGTCATGGAAGGCCAACCATTAGTATCTCAAAGCGGACTACTTCAACTACCATCCGGTATTTTAACTGACATAGTCAATCTATTAATTGGCGACAAGTCAACTCTGGCCTCTTTAGCTCAAGTCAATAGCGACTGCAGACAATTGGCTCGTTCGAGCCAGTTTGCCGATATCAACTTCAACTACGCCAACTCCCGAGGGCAGCAGTTAGTATCGAAGCTCGACCAAGAGCGTATATCTAGAAGGGATAATAGTAAACAAAGACCAACCATCGGAGCTTGCGTGCGAAGGATCACAACGGCTTCATACCCAGACTTTGTAATTTCCTTCATGAGAGGGGGAAGCTCGGCACAGAGTGAAGAGCAAGCTCACCAACAATACAAGTCGATACGTGCCGATGTTCAAAGAGTTATCTGCTCTGCTCTTCCCAACCTTGAGGTTGTTGTTTGGCATGATGCATATCCTATGGAAATTTCTTTTTTTAAACACCTAATGGAATCACCGGCCCGTCATCTATGGCTCAGACGACTGCCCATCGAGAGACAAACCATGGTTACATTTTTAGAGAAACCTCCTATACCGTCTATTTGGCCATTACGCTCCCTTGTCATCTCTCTATGTTTAGAGCTTCTGCCACGAGAACCATCGCAAGAGGAGACACACTTCGAGCTTGCGCCGGCTCGGTTTTTCGATTTACTTCTTCGATCGTGTGCACCTACTCTTGAATCTCTAACCTGGATTCTGACAAATAAATCTATTAACGGAAAGCTTATCCCACAACACTCTAGCGACAAGCCCGTATCGTTTCCTCATCTCCATTTTCTAAGGATCGGTGGCTTGGGTCCTCCTCGTTCTATACTTCCATCGTTATTCAGCGCTCCTCTTAGGAACCTCTCAATACATCTACAGCCTGATTTCGAGCTTCGAGATATTCTCGCCGATTGCGGTACTTCCTGGCATCTCGAGACGTTGGTCGTCCAGCCTCTCCCTGAATCCAAGGAATATGCGGAATTCATCGCGGGTTTTATTGCAAGGCACGAAACGGTAAAGAAGCTATACGTATCAGAACAGGCGCAGGCGCGTGACGCAACGGCGCACCTTGACGCGTGTGTCATCCCGCTGTTCTCTACGGGAAGGTTTGAGCATCTTAGGACTCTTTCCTTGACATGGGGTGGAAGCGACTATAGACAATCGGATCAGTATACCGTTTCCGTGCCAGTAGCCTCACTGGCGGCAATTGCGTGTCTTGCGTCTCTTGAGGAGTTAAGCCTCGGTGCAGGAACCAAAGGTGGAGCGTATTGTCGTTGGCTGGTTGATCACGACCAGTTACGCGATATCTTCTTCAAGCTGAAGTTAAAGGGACTTGCCCTCTACAACGATACATACCCCTGGGAAGTTCTCTCCTCTTCCGAAAATTTCGGCAGATATTATGTCACCCAGTCGTTTACAGAGGACGAAATGTCCGACATGTTAGCCAGACTCGATCTTGAAGAAACCCCGGGGCGTCTGACTCGTCTCTTGAATGGAAAAAGCCTCGAGAGGGGGTATTTATTGTGGGAAGTCCTTCATCGTAACCGGATGCTCAAGCAGACTGAGGCCTGGGCCGCCGCGTTTCCTAGCTTAGAGTGGACTTATTTCGGTCAATGGCTTATGGGCGTCAAGGAGGAGCTGGGGGACCAGACTCGGAAGAAAGCGGTGCCGCTGACGAAGATGAGAGACGAGCATTGCCGTTGCCAGTTCCTCGTAGATACGTTCACTATAGCGGGCTTTGAGACGTGATTCTTACTACCTATGCACGTGCATAACTGAGTATAGGAGGTAAGAAGACTACTCGTCGCCGTAAATTGGTTGTTATCATGAATAACACCACAAATCTAAAGCTAGAGGGCATTAGATATTGTATTTAGAAACCGCCATAGCTTACGATAAGAACAGAAGAAGGAGGGTGGATGAATATACTATATAGAACTTGATCTTGATATATTCATTTGGGAGTAAGTAACGCTTCATATCATCATCTGCGTTCTGCCTTGTATTCTATTCAATGCTATGTATATGCAATGCAAACGTGCCTGTTATACGAACTCCGCCGAGACTAATCGCTTCTTGTAGCCTGAAATGCAATTTCACTTCTTCCTCGACAAGTACATTTACGGTCCTCCTCTAGGTTAAATGTGCAAGATAGGAATCAATCCTCGCCCGTCAGGTCGATGCACGAGATATCACTACGTCTCCATGCTGCTGCTGATCCCCGACCGGTACTGTCCCGTACAGCATCGCCACCTCTAACTTTTGAAAGCAGATCATCAGCCTCGTCGGCTGCGACCTCGACTTCTCTGAAGAATCCGGGCTGGCTCTTGCGGGGTGCGTATACCTTGGTCATCTTTTTAGTTGAGCTGAAGGTATTGTTTAGAGTTGCCTGTCTGTTCTTATCCTTCCCCGGCTGTTGGTTTGTTCCCTTTGACTCTGAGATTCGAGCTACTTGCTTTTCTGGTACGTTAGGCCTGGTTGATGATTTGTTCCCGAGGGGGAGTTTGCTGACGGCGGTACTTAGTGGAGGTAGGTCGAACTCGTCCTCGTCTTCCGAGTCCGAGAGTGGCAGGGCTTCGACTACCACAGTACGTGCTCCATTCTTACTTCCCACAGGTGGCTGCCGTGGGCTTTCCGCCACAGGTAGTGATTCGGTCCTGGTTAGCTTACGATGGGGTTTCTTCTCACTCAACTTTGGCGATGGACTTAGGGCTCTTCCTACTGCACAACGACTATTTGACAACCCGTCGCTTATCTGATCCGTCTTCGTCGGCGTGATAGAACGCCGCTTTCGAGGACCCAAACTTGAAATTGAAGAAAGAGACGCTGGAGAGATATTTTCGGTAGTGTGGTTATCCAAACCCTGTGTTATAGAATGATGGATCGGGCCAGGCGACGTAGGTGGGCTAGAGGATATAATAATGGCCTCAGAAGCTTTCGTAGATTTGGCCTTGGGAGCCCTGAGATTGACGCGTGAGCTGGTAATCGTCCAGGGATTGGCACTCGCATCCGGTCTTGGCGTTGGGGATGTATTCCTGGCCGTGGACTTGGATTTAATCTGCTTACTGGATCCTATGGGCCGCGTTTTTTGAGACGCCTGACTAGTTGGGGCAGGGGGAGGTAGGCTTTGCGAAGGTACCCTGGGGATACCAAGCGGGCTTCTAATCCGAGAAGGTGCAGGAGATACTGGCGTATTATCTTTACTAGCTTCTGTATTTCGTGGGACATTCTTGGTAACTTTGACGAACTTGTCTAATGCTCTAGAAGTGGTGCCAACGGGTTTACTCTTTTGCTTTGGGGCCTTGGCCTTCTGGCGAGGTGCCAACTTGGCACGTTGCGCTTCTTCCCAGTCCTCAACTGTAATGGGTATTCCAAGTTTTGCTATGGTTTCTGGTAACCAGAATAGGTCGGGTTCGACCGGATTAAATGGCTTTTTACTAGTCTTCCCGACCGCATCGGCTCCCTCATCGTCGGCTGTAGGTTCGAATTCCTCGTCGCTATTGAGTGCTAGTCCATCTCGTCCATAGTCAATGACCTCATCCGGTTCTTCTTGGAAATCATAACCGACTATTTTTGTTGGCATGAAAGATATACGTAATTCTGGTGTTGAATCCGTACTGAAATGAGCACGTTTACTTGTGATTGACCTTACCAGTTCTGACTCCTGTTTCTCTAGAACTTCAATGGAATCGGACTCACGATCACCGCGAGTGCCCCGTGTTATCAGCTTTCGTACCAGCAAGCACGGTGCTAGAACCCTTATGAACTTGATAGCACCTATTCGGTAATTCCAATCAAAGGTTTCTCTAACGAACTCTCGTAGCCCTTGGACGTCAATCGGTTGATCCCACTGTTGCTGCCTTAATCGTTCGAGAGTCGAAGCGGGGGATACTACCGGGTGAGTATAGTATCTGAGAACGTCGATATTTGGAAAATCCTCGGGTATGGATAAAGCTTTGTGTCTCGTCTTAAAAAATCCGCTCTCGTTGTGCCGTAACTCGTAGGCCAGCCACTCTTTCCAGCTAGATATCTCAGACGTATCTGACTTTTTCAGTCTACACAGAGTCTTGCCGAATCCTGCCCGGGCAGCTTCGCAAGCCACTTTTACACCGGCGCCGGGAATTCCTTCCGGGAGGTAGTCGCCGCCGCTCATGAGTGCAACCAGGACCATCCCTTCCCGATCTAGGCCGGCGCCGCTTTCTAACAATCCTTGGGTGTCGTACATAGAGACGTGGGTAGGCGTTTTGCTTCCTCTCGTACCTTCAGACGACCAATTTCTTAGTGTTCGTGTGCAGCCGAACATGATGGTGTCGACATCCTCGCTGAGTACGGCATCGACGATGCCAGTTTGCTGTAATAGTGCACACTCGGCTTCTGCTTCTCCAGGCGCATCGTGAACCTGAAACCCGAACAGTCTGATCATTCGCTTGGCCATAGCTGTGGCGACGCCATCACCTCGACCGGAACGCTTGTTTCGCTTGAATACGGGTTTTCTAGGGCCATCAAAAACAAAGATGGGTTGTATAGATAAGCCAAGCAAACGGAGCAGCCGATAGAATAGCGTTCGAACAGCTGGGTTAGAACCACCTGAATGTCGTCAGAATAGTGGTCGTTGTGATAGAAGTTATTCAGTAGAGAATTGTCATACCTCGGCCTGCTTGGACTTGGAATTGCCATATAGCGATATCTATAGCTATGCGCAAGGGGCGACCAGTCTCTTCGAGCTTCTCGACAGCAAGCTTTGTAAGAGATATTCGCTTGCCGGTGCCAATTTCCTTATATATGCTATTTTATTTCGTTATCAGTGTAATGCTCGTGCTCGTGAATGATATTTACAAATTTTTTTATAGTATACTAACCCTTTAATCCCCATGGCGAAATCCTGTTGTTCGAATCGATGCTTCGATGCTTCGATGTTTCGAGCTATCTCGCCATGAATTGCAAGTTTCTATCGTTAAGGGGAATTTTGATTACATGTATGTAACAATGGAAAGACTGTAGCCTGCGTAAAAGTGGAATCAATTTGGCGGTTTGGGTGATGTAATACAATACTATGTACCTTAAGCATGTAACCTAGGTACCTAAGGGTAGGTAGGTTAGGTAGTTATTCATAGAGGTACGAAGCAAACTTAAATATTGACTTTGACGCCGTTGGTATCCACTGGCAACGATGCACATGCAAGGATATTTGTACACTATGTACGTATTTAAAATTGGAGCTAGACGCATGGACCCTTAACTACCTAGGTACCTTAGGTACCTAAGCTCTACCTTCAATTATATGAATATTATTCGATAAACCTGGGTATCTAAAGAATAAGGCGTTGCAGCTGCATCTCGCATCTCGCATCTCGCATCCCCCACCTCCCACAACATTTGAACTTGTCAAGATTCAAACGAAACAAATGCACGAATAAACCCACCCCGCCAGCTCCAATTCTCAACATGTATAGGGAGTAAACATACGTATAGAGAAATGTCGTCGAGCGCAGGCCACAGTCTCCCTCACCGGACTGTGTCTAGCATACGTGCCGGCGACCGCACATCAACTCAGGCACTTCCAGCTACGCCTCACACCCCTCCACGAGCTTCCGTTGTTCCCTCCGCCTTCGGGTCGCCCTCCACCTTGCGTGCCGACGATGAGGTTTTGGTTGTTGAATTAGGTTCACGAAAATTACGTATCGGCTTCGGGGGCGATGCAGTCCCTAAGAGGATCGCGTCGTTTGGCCTAGAGCAGCAGAGGCGTGCCGGAGACTTTAGGGCTTGGGAAGCTGGTTACCAGGACGACTGGCGCCATAGGGCTGCCGGGAAGCCTTGGGGATCGGATTACGAGCTGTGGCAGTTGGATTTGAGAGGGAAGGATCTGGGTCTTGTCGGGGATAAGCTCGAACGTGAGCTTAGGGAGGCTTTCACCAAGTACGTTACTTCCCTTCAATGCTCCTAACTGGCTGGCGTCAGTTAACATGCGTGCTTGTAGATTTCTACTTATTGACTCCCGCCCAAGGAGAATAAGTCTAGTCTTGCCACCCACGCTGCCTATACCACTAATATGTTCAGTTTTCGATACCATCTTTACTCGCTTTCAGATCCCATCTATATCCCTTCTTTCGTCGCCTGTCATGTCCGCCATGGCCGCAGGTACTCGATCGGCCCTAGTCATTAACCTTGGCTGGCATGAGACAACTATCACTGCCGTTTACGAGTTTAGAGAGGTGCATACTTGGAGGACTATCAGAGCCGGCAAGCTCTTGGTGGAGGAGACGTACCAGTTTTTAACCAACGTTATTCGAGGACGACCAGCCATAGCACGCGCCGAGCGTACCGAGCATAAATTGGAGGACAACATCGTAAGCTTTGAAGAATGCGACGAGTTCGTAACCCGCATGCTATGGTGTAAAAGGGCCGTAAATCAGTTATCACAGGATACCACCGAGGGTCTCCCAACCCTTCACGAGCAGGACGAGTCCGAAACAGTAGCGCCGGCTGACGACCGCGTGCCTGTCGCAGTGGAACTCAATTCTTGTAAGCCTCCAAAGACGGTGGAAATTCCGTTTGCGGAGCTAGCCGAACCTTGCGAGGCAGTCTTTTTCGAACCTAACATTTCACCTTCTTGCTTTGACGACCATGAGCTTCCCGTGCCTCTATTAGCTTACCGAGCTCTATTGAAGCTACCCTTGGATGTTCGCGCAGTTTGCATGGCGCGCATCATATTCACGGGTGGCTGTTCCAACATTATCGGACTTAAGGGGCGCATTTTTGACGAAGTATCGCTCTTGGCTAAGGAGAGAGGTTGGGATCCGGTCAGAGGAAAGGCGTATGACAAATATAAAGCAAACCCAAACCTACGGCGGAGCGGTAGTCGACAGTCTGGTGAAGGTCCTACTCCCGCGGTAGTTCTAACCGGAAGCGGCAGTGGTACAGAAGAAGCAGAGACAACACCACCTATCAATCCTGCATATGCGCCCCCTGACATGGATCATGTGGAGGATGTTATCAAAAAGGAGAGAAACTACAAGCCAGCTGTACAAGGCACGCTTCGGGTAATAGACTCCCTAGGTTCTTGGTGCGGAGCAAGCTTAGCAGCGCAGCTCAAGGTGCCGGCTTTAGCTACAGTCGAGCGCGAATATTGGCTTCAACAAGGCGTTAATGGTGCATGTCGACCTAACGAAGTGGACGTCAAGGCGCAACAGAGGCAGAGCATGGGCGCTGGGGGATTGGTTAGAGGCCAAGCCTCGCAGGCTACCGGCGGTTGGACTCTGGGAATATGGGGAGCTATTTAAACCAAGTTTAACCATGGAACTCTGATGAATATTATCAATATACTGGAGCTTAATTGGGTTTATTCTTGAGTTTTGGTACAACTAGATCTCCATGTAGATGCTACCTCAGGAGGTACATGTAGGTAGACTTCCATATGTCTAGGTAAGTACCTAGGTAGGTACATAGTACTACCTACATAGATACCTACATACATGTAGGTATGTACATGTATGTACCTAGGTAACCTTATCCATGGATATCACGACGGAGCAAAGGATGTCGAGAGCAGGAGCAGGAGCTACCCCTGCAAAATGCGGGGAGCTAAAGCTACTCTAAAAAAAGATTCGCAAATCGAACGACGCTTCAACTTTCCCCCTTCAACTTTTAATTTTTAAACAAAGATATTGCTCAATGTGAGAAAACAACTATTGTGTAGCTCCGTAGCCATGATCAAGGCACAGAGAACACCATTTGTATGCCTCCAATGCCGGTTAGTTGGACCCAGGACAAGACAGCGCCTCCTACGAGGTTCTGCGACGGCACGTCTATTCTCTAGTTCTACCTTTCGATATAAATCTAGCACCAACCCTGCTAGTATAAATCCCGGTTCCGATGACATACCCATCTTGTCCCGACCTCCAACGGCCCCTAAGGCTAACATAGATATCAAACATATCCGGCAGAATGCGGCCCTGTACGAACAAACATGTCTTGAAAGAAATTACAAGACCCAAAGCGCATATCCCTCCCGCATCATCGACTTATTTGCGCAATGGCAAACCCGACAGAGAGATAGCCGTAGCATGCGTGAGAGGGGCAATGTCTTGCGTCGACAAATCGCAAATCCTGCTACTATACAGCATGAGGACGATGAGACCGAGACCGGATCGGGAGAGGCGAAGCCGACTGCTACTACCACAGGAGAGGACATCAAAACCTTGTCAAAAGAAGAACTTATCGAAGAGGCCCGAATTATTAAGAACAAGCTATCGTCTATCGAAGAGGATGAAGCCCGTCTCGAGGCGCAAATGACAGAGCTCGCGCTCGCCATTCCCAACTTAACTAGCCCGGAAACGCCGCGTGGAGACGAGCCCCGCGTTCTTAGTTACATCAATGAGCAGCCGGAGACAGAAGTCTCCTCGTCGGATCGTGTATGGCGATCCCATGTGCACATCGGGTCCGAATTAGGCCTACTTGATTTTACCGGCGCGGCGACGACGTCTGGCTGGGGATGGTACTACTTAATAGATGAAGGCGCTCAGTTAGAACAGGCGCTTATCAGCTACGCGCTTGCTGTCGTGACCAAGGAAGGCTCTGGCTGGCGCCAGGTAGCACCGCCAAGCATCGTATACAGCCACATCGCTGCAGCCTGTGGGTTCCAGCCGCGCGACCAGAACGGCGAGCAACAGGTTTACACCTTGGCCCAGTCCGCTGCCGATGCCCAGCGAGGGAAACCTGAACTCTGTCTAGCGGGTACTGCCGAGATCCCACTCGCCGGCATGAAAGCCGACACACTTCTAGAAGAAGCTGATCTACCTATAAAATATATCGGTGTGTCGCGATGCTACCGCGCAGAAGCGGGCGCCCGTGGCGTCGACACCAAGGGTCTGTATCGCGTGCACGAGTTCACCAAGGTGGAGATGTTCGCATGGACGCCGCCCGACTCGGACGCCACCGCCGAGGTATTCGACGAGATGCTCGACTTACAAACCGAGATCCTTCTGGGACTAGGCCTATCGTGTCGTGTGCTTGAAATGCCATCAACCGACCTCGGCGCATCCGCCACCCGTAAGTGCGACATCGAGGCTTTCTTCCCGAGCCGCCGCGGCCCGGGCCGTGACGGCTGGGGTGAGGTCACAAGTGCTAGCATTTGCACTGATTACCAAACCCGCCGATTAGCTACGCGACTGCGCGGCACGGCAGGTACCGGTGGCAAATTAACATATCCTTGGACCGTCAACGGCACTGCGCTTGCTGTTCCCCGCGTCCTAGCCGCGCTGCTAGAGAACGGATGGGACGAGGCTGAGATGACAGTTGATATTCCCGAATGTCTTCGGCCGTGGATGGATGGAAGAGAGAAGATTTGGTTGAAACATCGTCGTAACTAAAAAAGGGGGGGGGCGGGGGCTATTAGGAGAGTCTATTTCTATTTCCATGTGGATGCCGAGTCGATAGGATTTTCCGAAGAAACAACCTTAATTACATTGTCTTTAACTTTGTGAATAAGTCCTACGAATTCGAACGTTAAAAGGAGTAAACAGACTAGGTTATGCTTTTTGTACTATTATCTATCTACCTATCTATGTACAGCATTTATACCAATTATCCCCTATACGCCATCGGGCAGTAAATAACAGGACACGAGCGCGGCGTGGATATTATTATTATTATATCCCAATTTACGTCTTTTATTTACAAGATGGGGAGAAAGACGAAGGTCACTTGTTAGGAGTGGTTTGCGTATAAATGTCTCGTCATTATCATGGATATATGTAACAACACTACACTACAAAAGTTCCCACCACATCCGCTCTCTCTCGTTCGTATAACACACGACTGCCGCCACTATTGCTACTCGTGATGACCAATAAATAGGGTATGCACCTAAAGCAGGTAACCTAGTTAATAGTATACCGAGCCAGTCAAGCAGACCCCGCTACCCCCCCCCCCATATGAACGAAGTAGCGTTTATCCTACGCCTCGATTTCCATTGAAGTACTTGGCCTGAACTACACTAAAAACTTCAAGTTTCGCAGACGTAGACTAAACCACAATTTCTCTTCGGACGAAAAATAAAATGAGAATAACAATAACGATAACGCAAAACCCGCAAGCAAACGACAAAGGTATTATTAAGGAAAGGGGAAACCGAAATTTCATTTTCCAATCTTCCCTCTTCTCCCTTTCCCATCCTCATTTCCTCCTCCTTACACCGTCCCCTCCCGCCTGCGAGGCCCCAGATATACGGCAAAGACAGGCCAAGCATTACCAAAGACATACACTCATCCCCCATAAGCATAGACCTCTCGTCTCGTCTTCATCAACAAATATGACGAACCAAGGCACAGACATGACACAACCAAAAACATGATGAAGCAGATAAACCTCACCCCCGTCGTACTCCGACCAATTCAGATTCCTGTCTCCAAAGGCTTCCAAAGCTTGAGTGCGGCGCACTGCTATGCTAGTCCAGTAGATTCATCATGTGTTGCACATGACAATACCGCCTTCGCCCGTAATGCTATCGGCGTCATCTATACTTTCCGATGAGACGCTGTCCGGTCCTAAGGCAGTTTCGGTCCACTCACTTTGAGACCCTTCTTGGTCTTCACTATTGTACCCAACCTCCGCTTCCGCGTCTGTGATGACGGTTCTTCCAGCCTCGCTCCCTGTCTCGTTTACTTCATCTATATCCCCTTCTTCAACCTCCAGCGGTATTTCTGTAGCATCTTCGCCGTCTTCGTCATCTACAGAGGTTTCCTCGTCGGCGGCAATGACTACAGTTTCGTCTTCCATGGGTGTCGGTGTTTCGGGTTCTGGCTCAGACAGAGGCGAATCCTCACGTGCTTCCTCGTCACTCTCGCGCACTGCATCGACATTCTCCTTATTTACACTCAGGTCGCCGTAGCCTTTACCAGTTCCATTTTTCCCTGGCGCCCAGCTGCTCTTCCGTAATGCTGCACCAGCCGGGGTACGAACGCTCTGGCTACGCTTAATGCCACCAGTAGGGACGTTGTTAGTGATTTGGCTGAGGCTCAGAATTCGACGGCCAGTACTTGTCGAGTTCTGCGGGACAAGGCTTGCTCTACCACCATTGACCGCCATGTTGAGTGCTGAACGAGATTTGGACTGCTTTGGGTTGGAGTTCGAGTCATCGTTAGGCTCTAGACTTGACCGAGCACCGGGGACACGCTTGCGGCTCATAGCCTCGCGGCCTTTAAACCCGGATTTCGTCATGAGTAGGGCACGAGAATGGTCTAAAACACCCTCGAGTATCCTGCGCTCAAGACCTTCAGCCCGGGCATCCATTACTTGGAGTTCCTCGCGACGAAGATGCAAAGCAGTCTCGAGGGAAGAAACATCTGCTGTTAATCGAGTCTTTTGACGGACAAGGGAATCTTGCTCAGTTCTTAGGGCAAGGATTGATTCACGGAGCTGGGCCTCTTCATCTCGCAAGTATGCTAAATTAGTTTCGACCTGGTCTTGTTCAGCTCTCTGCCGCTCTAATTGCATAGTCGTTACTTGAAGTGTCTTTGCACGCTCTTCATTCTCGTCTTCAACACGCTGCTTTTGCGACGAAAGAAACTCCGAGATGTCAGCAGCTGTCTTAACAACCTGCTGATGCACTTTATCGAGAGTCTCGAGCTGGGCATACGCTTTATCGGCAGTCTGCGTATGGTCGACCAGCTTGTCCAACTTGGTGTGCATCTCGCTGTCCAGATTTTCTCGCATAGAATGTATGTCGCTGTCTAACTTGGCAAGCTTCGACTGTACTACGCTATCATCATATTTGTCGGGCTTAGCATCTTCGATCTTTTGTAGAATGCTAGTCTCCGAATTCTTAGAATGCTCATAATGTTGTCCAATAGTGAGGAGCACTTCCTTGATCGAATCGAGAATCTTTGGCTGATAATCACCTACATGGCCTTGAAGGACTTCGACAGCACTGATGGCTTGCTGGATATGATCTCGAGTGATTTGGTGTTCTGCCTTACCTTCGGTGTGGTTGTCTTCAGTTTTGCCGTAGAGTGTCTCGACTTTGTCAAAGACTGTTTTTGATGCCTCTTCCATTTTCTCGAGAGAGCCGGTAACAGTTGAGCCAAGGGTGTCAATTAGAACCTTGAGTTCTTCCGTGACGGTATTTGTATTGACCATAGCGGCCTTCATCTCACCATCTCTTGATTCCGAAGCCTTTGTCCGATCTTCCATGACGAGCTGAAATTCATCATATCTCATCACAAGCTCGCCAATCTTCTCGTCAAACTTGCTTCCCAGAACTTGTGTAGTTTCCTTGAACTTCTCATCGGTGTCCAGCTTGGCACCTACCATACTATTCTTCGACTCCTCGAATTCAGACTTCACTAAGTCGAACATCTCCTTTAGGTTACTACCGACGTCGGCATTCTTGTGCACCGTTTCGCTGAGACCCTCAAGGATCTTACCTAGAGACTCAATAGCATTCCCGCCGGCCTGTAGTTTCTCCTTGACCAAGCCCTGGAACTCTTCTAAAAAGGTCTTGACTTCAGAGACTCGTTCGCTAACGCCAGCAGTCTCTGCTTGTTGCTGCTCAAAGGCCTTTGTGTTGGCCTCTTTGATAGTATCTTCAAGGTTCTTGATGTCGTCTTTCGAGGGAAGCGCTGCAATACCGGGATGGATCATCTCGTCGACAGTCGATTTGAGTTCAAGAAGGGTTGCCACAACCGCAGCAACGTGGGTCTTGGTGACCTTCTCAGGATCCTGGAGGGACTTCTCAGCACGCTCTTTCATCTCATCTAGCGCAGCATTTATCTGGGCTGCGAGAGTTTCAATCGAAAGCAGATCCTCCTTTTTAGAAACTGCTTCTAGTTGGCCAGCCACAGTTGCTAAGGAATCCTTCGTTTCGAGCACGAGAGCCTCCAGCGTATCGACCTGATCTTTCTTAACTACTTGATCTCCATCGATTAGGTCATCTAGACGAGCCTTGGTGTTTCGAAGAATTGTTTCGATCGCATGCGCATCTTCTTTTGTAGCGGCATCGTCGAGGTTGATTGGTGGATCCCGTTCTTTCTCGATATCTATTGCACTGCCTTTTCCAATGTCTCTAACACTGGACATGCTGGTCATCGATTCTTGCATACTTCGAAGCAATTCTTCTATTTCATTTAAATCCTCTTTGGACACACCATTCTTAAGCATTTCTTCGAGCTCTGCTAGGTCATCTTTTGATAACCCTTCTGGCGCTGGCGGGGGTGGAGGTGCTTCCAACGATTCCATCTTGATCCTAAGCTGCGTCATCATAACTTCGAGATTTTTTATGTCGTCGTGTTTGGCAAGATCGGCAGGAATGAGGGCATCGCTTGGGACACCACCTACTGTGGTAATGGCCTTTTCTTCGCTGTTATCACGAAGGGAGTCGATATTCGTCCGAACACCATCTAGGCCTGATCTAAGAGCGTCAAGGATTTCGTCATTGGCAGTTAGATCTGCCGGCTTGTCGCTCATCTTCTCAATGCATATTCGTAGGTCGCTAAATCCTTCGTGTAAAGCATCGAGGATATCAGTAGTTCCTGCGTGGGGGCGAAGGAGTTCACCACGTATTCTTTCGATACTGTCCCGAATAGCTTCCATTACGTCCCTGTTATCGCTCATTTGTGGGACATGAGGGACGAGAGATGAGTTGACGGTATCCCGAAGAGACTCGATTTCTTGTTTAATCAAGTCCCTAGAACCATCCGAAACCTTTGCTACAAGCTCGGCCACCTCCTCTCGGAATATATCGAAGCTGCTAACAACATTTGTCATGAGCTCCTCTTGGTTTGAAGCACCGGAAGCCTTATCAACATAACCTTCCATGTGCGTTCGCAGTTGCTCAAAGTTACTGGCAAGCGCCGATAGGAGCTCCTCATGGCCGGGAGCGCTGGGAACACTCGGAGCCTTGTCGGTGTTGCTCCCTATTTGAGTACGCAGCTGCTCCAAGCCATTTGCGATATTGGCCATAAGTTCCTCCTGATCAGAAATACCGGAAGCTTTGTCGACATACTCTTCGATGTGTTCACGCAGCTGCTCGAACCCGATCTCGAGATTTGCCATAAGTTCCTCTTGATTAGAAGCGCCAATAGCTTTGTCGACATAGCCTTCCATATGAGTTCGTAGTTGATCAAGACCATCTCTAGTAGCATCCAAGAGCTGTTCGGTATCTCTTCCATTTGCAGCGACGTTCTGCTTAGCTTCTTCAGATACAGCTTTGAATTCATCCCGCATGTATTGCATGATGTCGTGGAGGCGTTCCATGATATCAGGGCTTTCCCCGCCATGAGGCACAAGGGCTGTGCTCTGATTCGAGCTCAGACCTTCCTTGACAGCGTCTAGAACCTCGTCACGGGTTAGATCATTGGTCGAAGGGGCAATCGGGAATTCAAAGTCCTCAAGGCACTCTCTAACAGCCTCGAAGACGTCGTCTCGAGAAAGGCCAGCAGGTATATTTACTTGTGGTGGCTCGTAGTGCTTCAGTGCTTCAACAACTGCTTGAAATACCTCATCTTTTGTTGCACTCGGATGTGTCTCATGTTGTGGCGTGTACTGTTGTAGCCCTTCTTTAAGGCAATCGAGGATTTCATCCCGGTCCAACCCAATTTGCTGAATTTCTATCTCAGGTTTGTAGTTCTCCCAGGCATCCTTAACTGCTTCCATAACATCATCCCGGCTGATTTGGGGGTCGTGGTTGCGCGTCGCCTCCGTGTCACTCAGAGCAGTTCTCAAGGCGTTGTAGATTTCTTGGTAATCGATTGTCGATTTGTCTGACTCGGATGACACCCGTCGATGGTCTCTGAGACGCTGGGCCATGTAAACCCGTATCTGCTCTAGGCCTTCTTCTACGATTCTGGCAAGCTCCGCTCGGCTTGCCGTTTCGCTTTTGCTGGGAGTCTTACCATGCGATTCGTCCAGTTTTCTGCTAAGTTCCCTTCCCATCCCAAGAACCTCGCCCCGAAGTTCCCGAACGAGAGCTTTAACCTCAGCCGTTAGGCCTCCTCCTTGGGCAACGCTATCTTTAACAGAACGGATGAGCTTTGCGACATCGTCATTCAAGGCATCGTTTACTCGTACTGTAGTCGAAGCACGTCGGCCATCTTTACCGTTGAGCAGCTTATCAACTCTCTGGTTCACCACGCCACTGATTTTAGATCCTGAGTCATCACTACTAAAGCTTAATGCCCTTGACTTCTCCGAGCCACTACCGGTCCCGGGGCTCATCGGATGCTCACTAGCTACTTTGAGGTGATGAATCAGCTCTTCGACTTTGCCGGCTGAGGCCATACCAGACAGCCTGTCAGCTAGTTCAGATAGACGACCCACGATCGTATCCTGACCGTCTTTCGTTCCCATGTCTCTAATGATCTTCTCCAACAATGCCATCGTAGCAGGAGATTCTCCACCTACGAGTGACGGCGTGCTAAGCGTAGACTCTCTGTCGATGGACGCCGCAAAACTATTGGGCGATGGAATCCTTGGGAGGGAAATCGGTCTTGATATTTTCGAGCCAGGAGACATGCTGTAGGGCTTATTGTCAAGATATAAACCGCCCGTGTATGAATCCCGATGGTACCGGCTACCGTCCGAGTTTGTGACTAGCTCACGCAAACTCTTTCGAATGTCTTCATCCCTAGCATGCGTGGCCTCCTTGAGGCTCATCAAGTCGGTGGCATTATCTCTACTCCGACGACTAAGTTGGGACATTTCCTTCTGGAGAGCGGTTGCGATGTTGGTTAGGTTTAGAAGCTGACTCGAAAGGAATTCGGTGGAGAGCTGTGGCTTCATCATTGGTGTAGAGTTATTTGTGACGGTTGCCAGAGGTGATTCACCCTCGCGAGATGATATTGAAGGCATGTTTTGTAATGCCAACATAGTTGCAGACTGTGGCGGCGTGTTTTCACCAAGGATGCTCTGTGTTTGCCTCCTCGCAGAGGGGCGAACAAGAGAAGGCATGATTGACGGCGTGGGAGTGGGTGTGCCGGGGGCAGCGTTCTCCTTCTCTGCCGAGGTCAACTCTACGTCCCTGTCCCTGTCGTGGTCCCTGCCACGAATCGGCGTCGACGGTCTTGCGTGCCTATCTTTCTCAGGCGAACCTCGAGGGGTTGAATTGGCCGAGTCTCGATCTCTCGACCCCTCAATCATCAAGCTTAGATCCCTGACGCTACCCGGCTGGAGGGATTGCATTCGTTTGTGAGGGCTTGATCTTTGGACAAGAGCACGTTCTGGTGACGTCTCGTTGGCCCGTTTTGGGATGTGGGGGACAAGAGAGTTCTCGCGCGCCTTCTCAGCTAGAGCTGCATGCGCAGATTGAATAGCAAGCGAGGTACCACTTCGAGAAGGGCCCACGCCGCCAGGAGACTGAGGGTTCATTGGTAGAGGGGGCGGCGCCCGCTCTGGATCGGAGCTGTCCCACCTGGAACTCTTTTGTTAGTCGACAATATAATCATATACCACATTGCTAGGCAGCTGGTAGCGATAAGAGAAGCAGAGAGATATAACTTACATTGGTATAATAGCTCCTCCTATGGAAGAAGAATGTTGATGTCTTAGAGGCCTATCGACCGGTGCGTCTCGCTCAACCGGTGGCATATTCCTAACCGTAGGAACGGCGTTGTGTCTCTCAGATTGATGGAATGATGTGTCTGAGTCGCAAACTTGTCAGACTACCTTGTCACTTTGTGTATATGTTATTTATGCGCGATGCTTTGGAATTACATATAGGCCAGCCTGAGCTGCCCCGTCGAAGCGGGAAGTAAAGAATTGATGTTAGTCAAATCAGATATGATAAGTTGAGAGCGGGCTGGCGGGCTGGCAGGCTGGATGAACTTGAAGATTAGACAAAGCAAAAAAACGGAGCTTGAGGATCAATCTAAGAAGGACCTGGTAATATGTGATAAGGTCCTGGTACTGTGTATGTGTAATGTTGTTTGAAATGGAGTGAAAATGGGGCTGTCCCGCCTTTGCGCCGCTTTGTGTATGGACAAACAAATTAGACGCCTACCCAATCCTAATTGAGTTGCAACGTCACACGTCGCTGCCCCGGCAACCGGACCTTGGACCCATAATTATATGACATATGTATGTTAGGTAGGTAGGTACGCACATACATTACATGTAGGTACATATGTAGGTACGTACATATTGATTTTCCATGATGTCTTCATTGCACGCAGTAGCGATAGGTAATACCCACATTCTTATTAATCTATACCTTAGGTACATACCTAACTTACACTAGGTACCTACACTATGTACATCAAGCAACAGTGCCTACCTTACCCAAGGCAGGGAGGGTATTGATAACCTCACATCTTTCCTCTATGGTCCATCACGATGCTATATTAAAATCCAATTAATTCCATTATCGTCGCACTCTACCGTACTATCGTGCTCCGGTTCCTTTCCGATCATGCGGACGCCTCAACAACACCTATGTAGTTTAAAGCACCCAGCATTCTCGATGCATCTCATTTGTTGTCCCCCCCATGTACCAGGCTCGAGCTTTGAATGCGGGATCCACGTGTTTCTTCTTGCTTAGATCCATATACCTACATATCAACATATCAACAAGAAGCAGCATGAGAATAGTATTATACCTTTACAGAGAACGTCTGGGGAAATAAACCCTGTCACTTCGCATTTCGAAATACATAGTGTATTGTACATAAAGGTATTTAGTGTTACCGTCTGTTCACGGATCCTATGTCGGCTTGTGGAGTCCTGATTCCCTGCTCTACTATGTACATACACTAAATAAACAAGCAAGTAAGCAACCAGCTTTGCCATACATCGGGAACTCGAATGGGTCCGGCGTTCTCGATCAGACCATCTATGGACCTGACCGTATTATCACCAACCGCCCGGGGTTCCTTATCACATCTTTATCTAGCAAGGTAAGGTAAGGTAAGGTAACTCATTATTGGTAGCAGCGGCTTTCCTATCAATACTAAATTGTTATAACCAACAACTGGTAATTCCCAGAATGGAGATGCTAGCGTTCATATATGATAACAAAGCTAGGTTAGTGTTTTCTAGAAATCGCAAGTTTGGGAAACGAATAGGAAGATCATCACTTAGGTAATTTGCAATAGAATGTTACCAATATCTTGCCGTTAGTCCTCAGAGATGAAAAATAAATATAGTATATTTTCCCGAATATTGATTGTTGAAAGCCGATTAAACAGTTATCTACGAAGTTGTCCTCATTGACGAAGTCACTCGCGTCCAAGGCCTGGAAACGTCCTAGTCAGTCTTGATGTCAAAATATATTCAACACTAGAAACCAACACCTAACGGAAGACACTACTATAGTGAGCATATAAGAGACCGTAAATTGTAGTTCACCTCGCGATAAGAAGTATGCCAATTTCATACCTATGAAAACTCGCCCAGTCCCTAATTCCCGGTATACTATCGACGGATCAGCGCCCAGGGATGCAATGGGAAGTAAAAGGTAAGTGCTCAAGATGAGATAGATGGTAATATTAGCATATTGAGTCAACCTAAATCATAAAAATTGACTACCCTCTTAATTACTTATACACTTGACTTAACGAGTTTCTCCATGATGATTTCAGGAGAACATTCTCAGCGTTAGTCCTTAGATATCTGCTTAATATCTCACTAGAGTTATATGCAAGTATAATCGCATCTCTAACGCATCTCATATGGAGAAACAACTCTCTAATCCCACAAGGTCAAGCTAAAAGAAAGCTAAATTTGCACGAAAGTCTAACTCATATAGACTTCCCAGCAAAACAACATATCCAAATATATCCCAATATAATAGAATAGCATCAGTTCCGATACACCTCGAGCACGGAAATGCAACAAAAAGCAAAAAAATAGGTCCTCCTGGGGCTCGAACCCAGAATCTCCTGATTGATACTAATCGTAGTCAGACGCCTTACCATTGGGCCAAAGGACCGGTTGATGAAAAGACTCTCCAAACAAGCGCTATATTGTGATAGCCCCGTTTGTGAGCGGCTCCGCCAGCAGACTTTTTTTTTTCTCGAGCGGATAATCATCGGGTATTTGTTCATGATGTAACTAACCTAGGTTATTTAATTCAATATGGTGAACTACTATACAGGAGAGATTCTGGTGCTTGTCAGACATAGTTCAAATTTTACTTGCGATGGTGGTGAGGTTTAGCTTGAATAGCTACTTGTCATGACAACTCGGACGTCTTGCGTAGCCCCGTTTAGTGAAGGTACTAGGTTAAAGGAATACGTACAAGCTCTTGGGGGTTAGTCTGTGTCTATGTTGATTTTATACAAATCATGGCTTATACAAATGACATATGTGGGCACTATGATGAGTACACCTACCTATTCATCCACGGAATCCTACATGTAATATAAAATATTGCTAAGAGTCGAGTATTTATTTTTAGTTCCTGTCTACCCTGCCGAAGTCTTTTATAATCATCTAGGTTAATAAATCCAAACCGATAGAACCCGCCTCCATTATCGCGTTGTCATCCGCAACCGTTAAAACGCCGGCTCGATCGTATATACATACAGTGGAACGCTGGCGTCCAAATCTATGATACAAGTAAAATGTTCTATTTTAACATTGTGTCGAATGTTGGGATCAGTGTCTGGGCGAGCCAGAAGGAAAAGACCAGCTTCGGTCCGGTCATAAGAAGCTGTAAGGATTTAGTACTGAATCTAAGACGAATTATACGGTATTCCTTACCTTAGGTACCAAACCCTTGAAGAAACTAGAGAAACCTTCGTTCTTTGCCATGTTGGACAAGATACGGAAGCCGCTTTCGGGGTTCTCGAAATTCCTGTTCTGAATACGGGTTTTGATAACGTCCAAGGGAGCGGAGACAACCAAGGATGCCGAAGCACCGGCAATTGAAGCGATAAAGTTCTGGAACCAAGACGCCTTGTTATAGTCGTTTAGTGCGAAGACGTATTCCTTGGTGAAAGCCGAGCCACCGAAGAGCTGCCAAGCGTTAGAGGTATATCAAAAGAGAGGATTATCAAAAGAGAGGATTATCAAAAGAGAGGATTATCAAAAGAGAGGATTATCAAAAGAGAGGGTTAAATTATCTTAATGAACATACTGCAAATGATCCAGGAGCATTTCGGGCTGCAGTCCACCCCCAGCCTCTATATAATCCAAAGCCCTCATCCGAGATAATCTTGAAAACGCCTCGTCCTCGGAACGCTTCTGGGTTGGTCTGGCGTTTGATCTTTAATACGTCTAATGGAAGTAAGACGATCTCGCCAATGCCGATCAGGCTAGAATATGTCAGTTGGTAGAATAAAACGAGTAGTAGATCTAAGACTAACCTGCCAGCAGTCGAGTGCATGATTGCCTTGCCGGTTTTCTTTCCAAAAGCGCCCTCGAAGTCCTTGCCGTAGTGCGCCGCAAGATAATCCCTTGCGATAGGTTGGCCGCCATACTTGTATATCCTTTGCAAAATCTAGACCGGATATTTAGCTTCTTGACTTTACGCTCGAGTAAAAACCATCTCGGACCTTGTAACCCGCTGCATAGCCTAATCCCGGGAAGAGCGAGAAGAATTTTCGACCGAATGCCGCGTCTGCTTTGTCCTTGAAGATGACCTTATTCAGTTGGCTCGTATTCTTGATCTATAGGATAATTAATATTGTGCGCTCCTTGGATATTATAGGTGATTCATCCGCACCTTCGTCTGGTTGCTCATTAATCGCTTGGCAATGGTGTCGACCTTTGGACTTATTAGTCTTGCGCTGCCATATTTCGAATAACTGTACAAGCACGTACAGGATGGAAGACAGCCAATTCTGATATACCGGCAGAGCCTGTGTTATATCTGTTAGTGATTATTATTATATCGTTTTTTATTTCTAACCTACCGGAACCAAGGAGTCGAGCGAGATTCGACTCGCGCTCCTTGCCAGTGACCATCGGCGCCATTATGAATTACAAGTGTAATGCTAATACCGGAATTCCAAGGGTAAATGAATAGATATATGGCAGTCTAGATGTCCCGGATTAAGAAGACTTGACGGACTATTCTAAGAAAATGACGAGGAATTGAGGATCAGAACGACTGCGGACCCGGAGGAGAAAAGCTCACATGAGAAGTCGAACAAAATTTCAATCGCGCCGAAGGGTATTGAAAAAAATAAAATAAAATAAAAATTTCTAGATCTTATTACCAATTTGTACCGCACCAACCTTAATTTAGCGGGGAGCTTGCGGGAGCTTCAAGGGCCCCCCTCGAATTATCAGGGCTTTATCAACGAACGATAAGATATCATAATCATACCCCTCATGTATGTACGAAATACATCAATGTTACAATCCTACCTACCACGAAATTGATTCTTTTAAGGGGGTTAGGTATACATACCTACGCGTGTAAGGGAGTATCCGTGTGGCATCGGTATATTATTAAAACCCATAGCATCGCCTAGGGGTATAAATCTAGGAACGTAGTTGTACAATTGCCAGCAGACTTATCGTCCCAAGAGCATATTACTTAACGAATACCTTATGTACATTCGTCATCCATCGGAACGTACAATCCGAGATGTGGTCCGACATACCACATTCCGAGTTCAAGAAAGGCCAAAATGAGTAGAAGACAACGCCGTCCAATATGCAAAAGTCACTTTTTGTGCCTCTTAGGCTGTACCACCCGTGAACCATCGCCGCCATAATGCAAGATATCCCTCCTGTACTGGTATTAATTGCGAGTATGAACCCTAGAAGTCTCTGAAGACTGCTACAATATCGTCGAGCTTTCCAACTTGGCCGAGCAGTTTTTTTTCGAGGTCGAGAAACTGCACGTATTCATTATATATGTCACCTCTCAGTTTCTCCTCTTCCATTCCCTGAACATCTTTACGTTCGGCAACTGAGAGAACGCTTGCCTTCTTGCGACGCTCGACATCTAATCGCTGCAGACAGCGTACCATGGACTTGTAGGTATTGTCTAGTGTTCGCTGTAGTGTCCTTTCGAGGTCGAAAAACCAAAAGAAAATTGTCCGGGCAGCCGCTCGGTTATTATCCCGAGGCACCTCTTGCACGTCCAGGAATCCCGCCATCTCCATCTCCGCCATCTTAACGTGCACATCTGGTTTCTTCATAAGAGCCAAACTGGGCAGAGTTTTGTCGTCGATCTTCCCCTTTTCTCTAAGAATTCGAGTGAGGCGCAGACCCCGACGACCAAAGCGGTTCTCGATAAGCGTATCAAGTTCGAGGAACTTTAGATGCTGCATGAGCGGTTCGAAATCGACTGTCCATTCGCCGAAATCAAGACTGCCACAGTGTCGCACAAAACCCTCCTTACTTTCGGCAAGGATAAGTAGGTGTTGTCGCATCTGATGCAACCGCTTTGTGCCGATCGGAACGCTGTCGCCCACTTGCATTTTAACTTCATTTGACCCATTTTGACCATGTAATCCGAAGCTGACAGCTGCCTCCCCGCTAGGGTCGTAGTCTTCGTCGTCCGACTCAACGATTTCTTCCCCTTCCTGGAGCTCTTCTTTAAGGGTCGAACCCTTAAGCTGCGGAGGAAATCGTCTGATCTTTTCTGCACAGCGAATATCAATGGCACCATCTTCATGGAGCATTCCAACACCGCCTGATACATCAATAGAAGGACTTAGGTGCTCAAAAACCTCTTGAGTAGTGACGCGGGGTCCTGTAGAAGCATCATTGTTCTCGTCTTCGACCTCGATTGATTTATCGGTTTGACAACGAGAAATCTTTTTGCTCAGCACGCCAAGTAATGCTGCGTACACCTTTGCTGTGATATCGCCGATCAAGTCTTCCACATACCGCTCGAGTTTAAGGTTGCGGAGCTCAACCACACATTTATCATAGTTTACCCGAAGTACGGTATCGAGCTGAAAGGAAATGTTAGCGAATCTCCCCGGCGTAGATTTCCTCGTAGTGGGAACTCACATTTTTTAGTAAAGTGGTTCTTGCTTTTCCGTTGGTAAGTGTATTGGAGGTCGTGCCGTTAATTAGCTTCCGGCGCTTGGAGCCAGCCCCGTTCTCGAGTTCAAATTCGAGATCATTCTTTAATCCCGTGTTTTTAAGGTGAAACTCCCTTAGCTTGTCTCTGACATACTTGTCGAATTCAGCCGTCTGCTTAGCTCCTCGAATGCCAGTAGGATAGTAGTTAGTTAGGAAGTCTTGCTCAATTGTGCTTCTTAGATCCTGTGGAGATTGGTACATCGCCAGCGTAAGCGGCTCAAGAATACCAGCTGCAATAAGCTGTGAGAGACTCTCGTAGACTTGATCCTCTAGGTTGATATCTTCATCCGCTATATTTATATCGCCTATACCATTTTTAACGCCGTTGCCGTTGATATGGTGGCCATTTTGGGATACACCGTTGGCGGTCTTTTGCTGCGTAGTACGTCGCTCCTTGAACGCTGCAATTAAATCAGAAATCTTCGTGTGGCCCTGAACAAGGACCTCGTGCACGAGAGCATTCGCATCGGATCCATATTTCTCACGAACCATGTCAAGGATCTTTCCTGTTCGGACAAGATTGTAGGCAGCATGGGGATTTGCATCGTAGTATGTGATACCCGAGTCTTGGTCCGTAAAGTGGAAGATGAGATTTAGTTGGATGAGCACAGCGATCCCATGGCGCACTTGTCGTTGGTTGAGCGATGTGTGCTGCGCTAATTGCGCGATGGTCGACCTGCCTCTTGCTAGAAGATCCGCAAACATACGCTGCCAAGTTGAAACTTGTTAGCTTTAAAGCTGCATAACTAAAGGTTCTAGAGGATGTAATATAAAGGAAGTATTACCGATGGGAGCTGGCCATACAGCTCACTGATTAGCAGAACACAAAGTTCTGCAACATTTTTTGTCTAGTAATTATAGATATTAGTTTTCGTTGCTTGATACAATCGGGATACATTTTCTGTGCGTTGTTGTGAAAGCTGTAGCGACTTGAAAAGAACCATCACTTACCACTAACATGACTGGCTGAGCTTGGAATTATGCGGCGAGGTGAATAGATAGGATTTTAGGACTTGTCGAAGGGATTGGCTTCTAGAGATCCTCTCACTATCTCTAGAGCACTACAGTTACTACCGCGGCTTCATTGAAGCATTTGGTAGGAGAGAAGAGAGAGAGAGAAAGGTGCGCCGAAGAACACGAAGGTGGCGCAAGAAGTATTGGTACGTAAAGTCGAATGTTAGTTAAGAAGAATGATTTGCGCAGCGCGAAGTGAACAATAGCGTATAAAAATAATTTTGATGCAACTACTTTTTTAGGACAGCGGGGAATTCTAATTAATGGTCTAAGCTTCCTGTCTCTCCGACTACCTACGAAGTACCTGGTACCTAACCTACATGGTATGTAGGTAGCAGTCATATGTACCTAATTATACCTATGTACATACATACATGCACTCATGAAATAAGCTCCCCCCCAAAGTTTTTTTCCTCTCTTTACGCTGACTCAATCGGCCAATAGAAATTATTGGCAAGTGGCTGACCAGGCTCTAGCCTCACTAAGCCTCAGATAACGTACCGTAACCGAGAATTTACCGGAATTGAGCATCTTTTTGCTCCGACTTGGAAGCTTTCAACGATCTGCGTATTAAAAGCTGTTGTCGCAGACTTCAATAGCTAATTGTTGACGGCATCGCCCTCTAAAATGTTCTCCCGATCGGCTCTCTCTAGAGGTGCCCAGCTTGCCGCTCGTAGGCAAGGCTGCTCGCAGCTTGCTCAGCGCCGAGGGTATGCTGCCGCATCTTCGGCACCATCCGCTTTCACCTATGACACCACCGAAGTTGCTGGTATCAAGGTGGCCACCAGAGACTCACACGGTCCGACAACAAAACTTGCTGTTGTCGCCAAGGGTGGTACTAGGTATCAGCCTGCTCCTGGTCTCACCGTCGGTCTCGAGGAGTTTGCCTTCAAGGTAAGCGAGCCCACATCTCTTATCGCTGTTTTTTCCGTCGTGAGCTAATTAGATGCAACTATATTAGAACACCGAAAAGCGAACCGCCCTACGTATCACACGAGAAGCTGAGCTTTTAGGAGGTCAATTAGCCGCCTACCACACCCGAGAAGCATTGATTCTCGAAGCAAGCTTTCTGCGAGAGGACATCCCTTACTTCACCGAACTGCTGGCAGAGGTCATCTCTCAAACTAAGTACACCAGTGAGCTATCTGAAGCCATTGGCTGGTGATAAAATGCTTACATAGTTTATAGCGCACGAGTTTCATGAAGACGTCGAGAGGGTTCTGAAGGTGAAGCAGGCTAAGCTCGCTAACGACGTTTCCGCTCTTGCTCTCGACTCGGCACATTCGGTCGCCTTCCACACAGGCCTTGGCGCTTCCTTATACCCGACGACTTCAACCCCTCTGAAAAGCTATCTGAACGAACACGCCGTCGCTGACTATGCGGGAGCCGTTTACGCAAAGCCTAATATCGCTCTAGTTGGAGACGGGGCCACGACAACTGCTCTACACAAGTGGACAGAACAGTTCTTCAGCGGCGTACCCGCATCATCATCCAGCTCCGCCACGCTTAACGCGAAATCTACAACGTACTACGGTGGCGAGCAGCGTACGTCCCACACTGCCGGAAACTCTTTAGTCATTGCCTTCCCTGGTTCTAGTTTCGGCTCTTTCAAGCCTGAAATTGCAGTCCTAGCAGCCCTGCTTGGTGGTCAGCCTAATGTCAAGTGGTCGCCTGGTTTCACTCTCCTGTCCAAGGCAGCGGCCTCGGCACCCGGCATAGTTGCTTCGGGCACCAACCTGGCTTACTCGGACGCCGGACTGTTGACTATTCAAGTTACCGGTGCCGCCGCATCAGTTCGCAAGGCTGGTGAAGCGACTGTTAAGGCTCTTAAGAGCATCTCCGAAGGTAGCATTAGCAAGGAGGATCTTACCAAGGCAATCGCCAAGGCAAAGTTTGACGCTCTAGATGCGAGCCAGTCGGGTGTGTCAACGCTCCTGTCTGCTGGTTCTGGTATTATCCACACCGGCAAGCCCTTCCAGATTGCCGAGTCTGTTGGCTCAATCGACGGCATCACAGCAGACAAGCTCAAGACGGTATGTTTATCTAATTTTCCCCATTGTTATTTTTAATGCAAATACTAACTGTTATCATAGACGGCAAAGTCCCTTCTCGAGGGCAAGGCCACCGTGGCTGCAGTTGGTGACTTAAACGTTCTGCCATATGCTGAGGAACTTGGGTTGAAGG